CTCTGTCTCTCTCTCTCTCTGATAAATAAATAAAAATCTTTAAAAAAAAAATAATAACTTACCAGAAATCCTTTGGGAATAACTTTCAAGTAAGGCTGAGCAAATGAGTATGACTTTCTTTTTTTTCTAACCTTCACTTGACCCATCCTCTCTTCCCCATCATTCCTTCCTCTGTGACCCAAAGCTACTTGTCTGTGAATTCCATTCTATTCTCTCTCTGAAAGGCGGAGAGATGTCCTTCTGTAGCATCTGAGATGTCTGGTTAGAAAGATTGGGGGGGTGGGGAGAGAGACCGTTGACAGCGACCAGAGCCAGCCCCACCCACTGCTGCACCCAGACGTGGAGGGGCTGCTGGGGTGGGTCTTCAGACCCGCTGCTGGGGCCTCATCCCTTGCCTCCTGCTTTAGGAAATAGCAGTGTGGTGGCTCAGACCTCAGCAGCTCACAGGCATGATTCCATTAATAATAATAATAATAATATTAATAACAACAGCAATAGCATAACCACCACAGCGCCTGCTGCGACCACCATTTATTGAGCCCTTACTGAATACAAGGCCTCACATGCTGAGTGCATCACAACTGTTACCTTGTTTCATCCTCGCAGGAACCCCACAAGGTAAGTCCTCATTTCATCAATAAAGGGTGTAAGGCTCGGGAAGGCTAAGTAATTTGTGCAAGATCACACAGTAAGTAGCAGAAGCAGGTTTTAAACGCAGATCTACAGGGCCCCCAAGCATGGGCTCTTTCTTACTCTGTTCTGTACTGCTGATTCCTTTACCTCTCCTGCTGCACCCTGTGTTCTTGGCTGACCTTCTCTGACCCCTAACTCCAGGCACCAATGTCTCCCGGGATGGCATGTGGGGGTATGCAGTTAGGAAACGTCCCCAAGTGATTTGACACATGGCCAGGACTGAGAACCACTGGAATGGAGGAGACTACCCTTCTCACCCTCCAAGAAGGAGAAGATACTTGCCAGTGCAATCCAAGGGAATGGGGATATAGAATTGGGGTGGGGGGGGGCACTTTAGATTCAAAAGAGCTAGCCTTCCCGCTCTGAACATGGCCAAATGATGTTGGCTCTCTTGACATGCTTTGTGTCCACAAAATGGCCGCGCTTTTCAGCACAAAAACGCCTCCGAATCAGCACAAAACCAGGTATCTGGTGTGTTATGCCATGGTCCGTGGCCTGTGAGAATACTTTTGGCCATGTCAGGGTCAAGGGCTGCCCTGTCAGCCAAGGGGGAAGTTTCAGAGACCAGCTTTTCCTCTTGCTTTTGGTTGCTCCTTCCACCAGTGTCAGGCCAATGGTGACCACTGCCACCTTCTGGTGAAGTGTCTCAAGGCATCCCCAGGGCGTGGTGACAGATCATGCCATAGTGGTCTGTCTCATGGACCTTTCTCCTCATTCCTAGATGAGGATGCGCCAGGACAAAGATTTGGGAGGCTGATTTCTCCCAGGCACATCTGTATTTGAGTTAAAATAATCCTCTACTGGCCTTACAGGATTTCTAAGAATAGCCTCATTTTGCCTGAGTTCAAGCAAGTAGTTCTATCGTGAAGATGCCTGGCCAGGCTCTGTGTGCCTCCTGTCCCCACTGCAGCTCGCACTGCCCGGGGAGGCGGGGCCTGGCTGCCCGCGGCGGTCCCCTTTGCTCTCCTGAGGACAGCGGGGCAGGAGGGCTCTGCCCGGCAAGTGCAGTCTTAGAGCAGCCTGCAGGATAGTTGCGAGAGCGTGCGGTTACACCCTCTCCACCTCCACGGGCCAGGAACGCTGCTGGAGGTGAGGACGGTGAGTCTCCTTCCAGCCCGCTGGTCCTGCCCTTACTTCTTTCCTTCTCTGTCTTGTTCTCTTCTCCTTCAGATTCTTTTTTTTTTTCCTGTATTTTTTTCTGTAGCTACTCTATACCCTTTGTGGATCTTTTTTTTTTTTCCCCTTCCTAATCCCTTAAAATTTGCCTTTAACCAGAACATAGGCAGCTTTGGGAATGTCTCCCCGGGCTCCCTGGACTATTCCTGACCACCTTGCCCCGTATCTCCTTTTGCTGATTCTTCCTCTCCGATCCCACCCAGACTTTGTCCCCACTTCTGCATACATCTTTTTCTTTGAATATTTTTGTTTGTGGGGTGAGTGTGTGTGTCTATCTTGACTCCTTTATCCTTTCTCTTCCGAAGTGTGTGGAATGAAGCAGAAGGAATTAATTTGAGCAGTAGAAAAAGATTGTGTCAGAAATGAGCCCCTGATGTTAGAAAAATAATTTTAAGTTTAAATGCCTAAGAAATGCATAAAATTAAAATTTAATTGATAAAGGCACATGATTATGTAAAGACTGCTTTTTGTGCATCTCATTTTAGTCAGTTACATATTTTTTATAAAATAATCATTCTCAACCAACACTTGTTCCAGTGTTTCTAAGATTGTTATAAATTCTCAAGAAAGAAACCCCCCAAATCCAGGAAAAGTCTTTTTTAGAAGTTCATTTAAAGTCACTGTGCTTGAAAGAGCAATTACATGCTTCCCGGCAGTTTTAGGAGAATAGCCATCCCCAAATCGAGCTTCCAAGGATAGATTGCCAAAGCCTAGAGGGCAGTCGCTGGTGTGTAAACATCGGAGCCCAGCAGGGGCCTTTGGGTTCCAGAAGTGGATTGTTCACCCTGAGTAAATCCCGCTGAGCCTTAGAGCTTCCTGGAAGTCGCTGGCACCGGAAGTTCTGGGTGTCACTGCCAAGGCTCTGAGGGGCACCGTCAGCATGTGGCTTCACCAGGAACAGCAATCACAAGATCCCAGCTCAGCTGAGCCCCCTAAGGCGCAGTTTTAAAGAACCCGTGGAGAAACCATAAAGGCAGGATTTCAGACACAGACAATGTCTGTGTTCACAAACAGCTTGAAAACGTTTCATTTACTGTGTCTTAGTTGTGCTTAAAAACATACACTCCATTGGCTAATTCTGGTGTGCAGAAATGCAGAAGGGTGATCCTTGTACCCAGTTTTCCCATTCATTGGTATTTTTAACTTCATACCCATCTACCCCAGTGTGGACTTAGCCTGCCAGGAGAAGGGAGCAAGAGAAACAGCAAATAGATGATGTAGCAAGAGTGACTCGGTTTTACCCATTGTCCCTAGAAACCAGCAAAAAACTAGAAGTGGGTAACTCAGAAAACTTGCTTAGGGGGGCACCTGGGTGGCTTAGTTGATTAAGCATCTGCCTTTGGCTCAGGTCATGATCCCAGGGTCCTGGGATCGAGTCCCGTGTCGGGTTCCCTGCTCGGCAGGGAGTCTGCTTCTCCCTCTGCCTCTCCCCCTGCACTTGATCTTAGCCAAAAGGCCGAGAAGCGATGCCTCTCCCCCTGCTTGTGCTCTCTCGCTTGCTCGCTCTCTGTCAAATAAATAAATAAAATCTTGAAAAAGAAAGAAAACTTGCTTCAGCCTCACCAGGGAGGGGATGATGCAGAAAAAGAGAGCAAAGGCTACAAGGGCTGGAAGTCAGTCTGGCCAGCACCGTAGTGCACAACTTGAGTTTCAAAACAACACCCTCCCCTGCCTCTTCCACAATAAAAATTGTAGAAGAACCACAGTTTTTCCCAGGATTGGGTAGATGAGGCTAGGGTGAGGAGTAGGACAAAGCCCCCATCCCTGTCACAGGGCTTTGAGGCAGCACAGGGAGGAAGGGAGTCGGAAAGATCTTGGGTCCATTCCTGCTTTGTCCTTTTCTCACTGTGTGGCTAAGGGCAAATTCTCTTAACTTCCCTGGGCCTCCTTTTCTTATCTGTGAGATGAGAGATGTACGTGCCTCCAGGAGTTTTCTCAAGGATTAACTGAGATGATGTGAGTAAACTACCAGCCACTGTTCGGCACTTAATGGAAACCGTGATTGTTTTTATTCATAAGCAGAAGTAAAATTTTCTTACATTAGATTTGTAAGACAAACATCAACAATTAAAGTAAATTTTGCATCCCCTGGGACCTGCCCTGATGGCTAGTGTTCAGCTGAATCCGTGGAACTTCAGTCTGCCGTCTTCAAAGGCGAACTGAAATCCACATGTTGGACTCGGATGCCGTGGACACAGAAATGAAGAGCTTGTTCCCCCAGAGGGGCTCCTGCCCTGCGTTGGCTGTAGCCGGGTGACTTTGCTTTTTCTACCTCCGTCAAATAAGAAGTAGCTTTATTTTATTTTATTTTTTTTTAAAGATTTTATTTATTTGACAGAGACATGGCGAGAGAGGGAACACAAGCAGGGGGAGTGGGAGAGGGAGAAGCAGGCTTCCCGCAGAGCAGGGAGCCCGATGCGGGGCTCAGTTCCAGGACCCTGGGATCATGACCTGAGCCGAAGGTAGACGCTTAACGACTGAGCCAACCAGGCACCCCAAGAATTAGCTTTATGAGCGTTTAGTCATTCCAACGTCTGTTGCCTTCACCCCTATTTTTTTCTCCTCTTACTTTTCAAAATACATAAATTATTTAACTCCCCAAGCTGTGCTATTTTTTTTTCCATCTTATAAGAACTATTTCTCATTTTCTTATAACAAATCTTCCAGATTTCTGCATAAGGAAGCTCTGGGGAGAAAAAAATGTTTAAAGAGCTTAGGCTTTAAACATTTTTTTTTGAGTATTTAAATGCCATGTTTCCCCCATGAAAACGTTGCTTCTTACCCCAAGAACCAGGTAACAGTTACAAACTAACCCTGACCTACTGTCTACGGATAGGCTGTCATTCCATGATTCAGAGATACAGGGTTTTGAGCTAAAATGCTAGGCTGGATTTTAAGCAGTACCTACATTGGTTCCTAAGTAAGCTAATTTCTCATTTGGCAACCACCATTTTTCCAGTCAAATCTCTGCAGTCAGAGCTGATTTTTAGTTTTCTTTGACATCATGGCATTTTCAGCAGAGTAATCAGAAGTTCTATTAAAAAACAAAAACAGGCAAGACAAAATTCTTCAGAACAGTACTCCAAAAATACATTTTACCTCTTCTGCCCTATTTTCAGAAGTTAACGTAAATCACCTTGCACATTGCATGTATAGCAGGGCAAGTCTTGTTCAACTTTGGTATCGACTAGTTCTTATCCTTGAAGTGGAAGGAGGGAGGGAGGGAAAGATAACTTGGTACCTAATACCTTTCCTTTATTTGTTTGGGCCGGGGGAGACCTGGAACAGATAAAAATAGGGAGAGGAGAGGAGGGACTAAGAAGGGCTGCCAGAAGGCACTGGTTGGCTCAGTCTGTTGAGCGGCTACCTTCGGCTCACGTCATGATCCCAAGGTCCTGGGATCAAGTCCTGCATCGGGTTCCCTGCATCAGGTTCCCTGAAGCGGGGAGTCTGCTTCTCCCTCTCCCTCTGCCGCTCCCCCTGCTTGTGCTCTCAGTCAAATAATAAAATATTTTAAAAAGGGAGGGGGCTGCCAGAGAAGCTGTCTTTGAATAATACTCAAGATAATAGCAGTGTTTTATTTATACTTCACAAAATATCCCAGCCTTTCTTGCTCTGAAACTTAGAATGATTTGCCGAGAGATAGGACTTGATTAACACTTAGTCAACATGTGACATTGGAGTCTTTGGCTTGCGTTTGCAGGTTACTTCATGTTTTTTGTTAAAGCTGGTACAGATTTTAAGGGAAGGAGTTGGGTCTTCATTTCATCCTCAAGAATTCTGAATTCGGGTTGGCAAGATACTAGAAAACAGGACAGGCTGACTGATGCAGCCTGACTCTTGTTGGAGAAGTGCTTTGGTGTGGGGGGGGGATTATCCCGGGCGTAGTGACTAAATATCCTGCATTCTCAGGACAGTTCCAATTTAAAAATCTGTTTTGGTAAATGTCCGTGTGCTCTCGTTTTGAGTTCAGGGCGGCTACTTCCACGAGGGGCTCAGCTCTCATCTCGGTTCCGCAAGTGTCCATGTCCTGGGGTTCTCTGTATTGTGGGACGTGTGCCTTGCCCTTGCAGAGCAAGCCCACAAAACCCTGGGACTTGGTTGGTTCCAGAGTCACCATTTAGACACTGAGCCCAGGCAGTACCTTTGCAGAGCAGACCTGTCAGCTTGTGCTGTGTCTCGAGGAAAGCAAGCTACTCAAGCAACTAGGTTGAGGTGGAATCAAAGCAAGAGACTAGGAGGGTCTTCTCAGCCTGTTTCCTTCGCCACAGCTCCTCTTTGATGAATGGTATTGTGTATGGAACTGCAGCGTATAAAACAGGTCACAGCCGCTGTGGGCAGCTGAAACTGCATCTTTGGGCCTCCCCCAACCCATCCAGTAATGGGCCTGGCGGACTCTGGGGGACTCAGCAGGCTAGACCAGAGACTGTCAGCGTGAGCATTCGGGGACCTCTTTCCGCCCCTGTTTCCAGCCCAGGCTGGGGACCCTGTGTTCTCGCTTTGCTTGTGGAAATTGTCTTGAGGAGGACCTTTGGCTATTTGTCCCCATGCTTCCTTGGTGTCAGGTGGCAGTCAACCCCCCGGTGTCATGAGTGGACCTTCCGGACTGCAGGTCGGCAGATTCTGGTTGGGTGGGCTCTCAGATGGGGTCTGCGGTGGTGTAGCTTCCGGCACTGGGCCCCTCCTCTGTGTGTCGGGCTCCCAGTGTGGCTGGACGTCGGTGCAGGACGGTGCCAGTGGGGGGACATGTCACTTGGTTCTCTTACCTCAGCCAGATTGCTCCTGATTACGTTTTGTTTTGTTCACTAGATGAAGATTCAGATCTATACTCACCTCGGTACTCCTTTTCTGAAGACAGTAAGTGATGTAGAATTTTCTGCTTGCCGGGGAGGAACAGAGGGTGGTAGGTGAGGGAAGACATCTTCCTGTTTTTGGTTTTCCTCAGTTTTTGCAAGTCTTTTGTACCCACTTTTCTTCTCCAGCAAAATCTCCCCTTTCTGTGCCTCGCTCAAAAAGTGAGATGAGCTACATCGACGGTGAGAAGGTGGTTAAGAGGTCGGCCACACTTCCCCTCCCAGCCCGCTCTTCCTCACTAAAATCAAGCCCAGAAAGGTAAGTGCTCCCTCACCCACAATCAGCTCTGAGAGTTAGGGCTCTCATCCCCAAGCTACCACTGAAGTGCACTCCCTCTGCTGGTCAGGTAGCCTTAGAGGCAAGAGTCACAGACCCAATTTTGAATCCCTGTGACTTATCTTCAGTCTCAGTGTCCTCATCTGTTAAATGGGGATACATTTTACGTTCATAGGGATGTTGCGAGGATAAAACGAGATAATGCGTATAACGTTTCTAGTAGTTCCTGGCTCACAGTATGGGCTTAGTGAACATTGGCTATAATTTTTTTTTTAAAGATTTTACTTATTTAATTGACAGAGAGAGACACAGCGAGAGAGGGAACACAAGCAGGGGGAGTGGGAGAGGGAGAAGCAGGCTTCCCGCGGAGCAGGGAGCCCGATGCAGGGCTCGATCCCAGGACCCTGGGACCATGACCTGAGCTGAAGGCAGACACTTAATGACTGAGCCAACCAGGCGCCCCAAATGTTGGCTATAATTATCATGACTTTACCCTTCTCACAAGAGAAATCTTAACTGTTTAAAATTTGTCATGTGTTTTCATACTCTTTGTGCATTCTGACAGGGTCATACCAGAGAATATGATTTTAAAATGAAGCCACACTTACCTTTTTTAAAGACTTTATTTATTTGAGGGCGCCTGGGTGGCTCAGTTGGTTAAGCGACTGCCTTCAGCTCAGGTCATGATCCCAGGGTCCTGGGATCGAGTCTCACATCGGGCTCCCGGCTCAGCGGGGAGCCTGCTTCTCCCTCTGACCCTCTCCTCTCTCATGCTGTTTCTCTCTCGCTCGCTCTCCAATAAATAAATAAAATCTTTAAAAAAAAAAAAAAAGACTATTTATTTGAGAGAGAGAGAGCACACACACATGCATGAGCGAGCAGGGGGAGGGCCAGAGGGAGAGAGAATCTCAAGCAGACTCTGTGCTGAGCACAGAGCCTAATGCAGGGCTTGAGCTCAAAAACGATCCTGAGATCATGACCTGAGCCAAAATCAAGATGACTGACCCACCCAGGCACCCCAAAGCCACACTTATTAATAGTGATGCAATGTGTATCATTGAAAGATAAGGCTTAGAGTGGTCCTAATGATGGTGTTCGTCATCTCCTAATGGCTGTGCTGAATGACCCACTTTTCTCTTTTGAGTTCTTATTCCCGATGGAGCAAACTTTTTATGCCATCTGGACTGGTGTCCCATGCATCTTCAGGCTCCCTCTTTCACCACTTCCCAACAAGGCTCTGACCAAACTATTTTTTTCCTCTAAGTACACACTCAGTTTCACCCCTCCATACCTTTTCCATCTTCATAGACAAATGAGTGGCTGAGTCCCACACATACACAAGTGGCATCTGCCTGAGGGTTTTGATAATTAATTTGAAAGGAAGGCTGGGTATACCCTTAAGTCTTTGTGGGTACACACTCAAGTGCATTCATCAAGCATCTGCTGGGTACATTCTGTCGCAGATTGAACCAGATGCTATGGGGGAATGTAAGCATATATAAATCACTGTCCCTGCCTTCAAGAGGTTGTAGCTTTGCAGGAAAAAAGTAACTATAGTCACAGTGCAAAATGCAATACTGTACATGCCTTAAAAATTTGTCAACAACTTCCAAGGGTTCACGTATCCTCTGGAACCCATTGCTGGCTCACGTTAAGTATCTACACCCAAGGCTGTGATTTGGGTGACTCCTGGGGCAGGGTGTGGAATAGAGAGGAACGTGGTTATTAATTGCAGATCACATTTATTCAGTGCTTACACCATGGGCCTGGTGCTCTGCTAAGTGATTTACATGCACTGTCTCATTTAATCCCTCCAGTATCCCCATTTTTCAGATGAGGAAACTAAAGTAGCCGTGGGTGAGGTGTTTGGCTCAGCTCACCAGGCTAGCGAGTGCTGTAGCAGGGACTGGAACCACGGCTGACGGGCTCCAGGACCTTCGTTCTCTCCCACTGCGCTAGCAGGAGTGGGAAGCACAGGCATGTTTGGGAAATGATGAGCTCCTGAGAGGAGAGCAAGCTTTGCTGCCGCTGTTCCCCACCCTTCTCCTTGTTCTCTGCGCGTCCGGTGCCCGGTTTTGAGCACAGGACACCTCAAGCCTTTTGTGAAGCCAACACAGAGATGTAACTGGTTATTTTGAGAAGGAAACCAGCTCAACTAAATGCTTCGCGCAGAGTCCGATTTTATGCTTCTGATACAAAAATTTCTTGATTAGACTGCAGTCCGCCAAAGTCAGACCGTGTCGGATGCCAATTTTCATGAACATAGCTCTAATAGGATTTTCTTTCTCCAGAAACGACTGGGAGCCCCCAGATAAGAAAGTGGATACAAGGAAATACCGTGCAGAGCCCAAAAGCATTTACGACTATCAGCCGGGCAAGTCTTCTGTTCTGACCAACGAAAAGATGGTAATGTGTATATTAAAGTTCTTTTGTCTCCCCTGCCGTGTTCTTTAATCTGGATGCATTGTGCGCTTGGATTATATTCTTTCTCCCCTGGGATAGACTCTCTGTGTTTCTAAGACAAATGAAAAAATGAAGTATTTTTACCCTTTTCATTTCTGCAGGTGTTTATAAAATGAGTCCTGAGAGTCTGCTTTGAAAGATGCCATATTGAGCTTTGTTGTTCTTTTTGTGCATGATTTGAACTAATTTAAAATGGTCCACTAATGTAAAGATTGATTTTGCTGCTGTTTAAAAACGTCTAACCGTTAATTTATCAGGCTTACTACTAACTGGACTAAAGTCAGGGTTTTTTTTACGTGACTCTTATTTGAACATGCATAAATTTTGTAGAAGTTACGAGCACCTCATTAAAAGCTAAATAATTAATATGTTGTTATGACTTGGGAAGAAAAGACCCAGGCTGTTAGAATATGTCTTGTAGGTCTTCCTTTTCTGACAAGTGCACTATGGAGGACGAATTTCATATTCAGTCTGGTTTCTAATTTTCTACACATGTTCACATTGCCGAGCAAGTGCAAGTGGGGGAAATGGCATGTCTGGGCATAGAAGACCACCCTGGAAAAGCGGCTTCTTCTGTGAAACGGGAAAGAATTTTTGCAGTCTGATTAGTTTCATATCTGCCCCTCATGCTTCCTTTTATTCACCTTCGTTAGGAAAGCTGGTTCAGAATTCGGATCACGGTTAAAGGGATTCTCCAAAGCTCTATAAATATTGCAGCCCTCCAGCCATGCCAGCAGGATGGAATTATCATGCTGGGGATTGGTTTTTATTAAAATGCGGTTACCACACTGAGAACAGATTAAGTAGGCCTCTGAAATGCAGGTTCAAATTATTTTCCCTCCACCTCTTCTGCTCTACATGTTTTAAGTAATAATTGATTTGACTTTTACTAAAATAAAAATGTGACATCTTTAAAAGCACAGAGGGAGAAAGTAATTTTAATTAGGAAGAAAGGTCAACAGTTCACAGAAATGCTTTAGGGTTGTCATTCTTTAGCATTTACTGTGCACCACAGTTATTTTAAGCAAAAAGTTCAGAAAGGAGCCGAGAATTTTGCCTCTGACTCCACCCTGCCCTGGGGGTTCTCTCCCTGTTAGAAGATCATACGCCCTGAAGTTAGCCTTCCACACGCAGGTGTGCCCAGAAAGACCGTCATGTGCTTGGGAACATTCCTGATACTTGAATAACAAGCCAAGGATGCACCATCACGTGTCCACACTTAAACGATGTAGTCCTTTCTTTTTTGAATTTTTTTCCTTGCTATTTTTGCCACGTGAACAGAAAAGTTGGAATGTGTCCATGTGGCTTGCCTTTTGGCATCCAGGATCCAGTTTGCCAGAATTTGAGGACACCTCACACCCCCACCCCCAACCACCACATACACACATGCTTTTGTCTTGTCCTTAACTGTGGATAGGTATGCTAACTAGTGACAGATACAGAATCTAAATTTGCTCTCAGAAATGCACAACTCCTTTTGAGGGGAAAAATGTTTTTCCAATTTGAAGTACTCCTGTCTGCTTCAGCCTGCCAACTTAAATGGCAACCTCATGGGCACATCTACCCGTTGTTTGCAGGAAGGGTTGGTGGTAGACTTGTAAAGGCTGCCAAAGAGCTTGTCTCGTCCTTGGAGCGAACCCAAACCATCACAGGCAGAGGAAACCCTGTGCTACCTTCAGAATCGCCCACAGTAGGTTTATAGCCTTATGACCTCTTCAGCCACGTGGCAAACTCCTATGACGTTCTTCATAACTCCCGAGTCCCCCGTCGTCATAGTCTGAGTCCATCGTCTTGTCCTTCGGCCTCGGGATTAGAGATCTAGTGGTCAAGCCCTGCTTTGTCAGAAATGGCCTTTTTCTGGCTTTGTCCCTTTTACTTCCCTCTAGAACTTCAGCTCAATTCAACAGATAGATATAGAATCACTTTTATGTGCCAAGCCCTGGGTTAGGGGTTGGGGTCCCTGCTGCTCCCACAGGAATATATTGGGAAGGACAGACGTTCAAATAGTAATTACAGACATGATACAGGTTCGGATGTGTAAAACAAGGGGGTTTCTCCCCAGTACACGGTCACTTGGAGTTCCTTCCTGGCTTTTCAAGTTTGTCACTTACCCCTATTTTAGCTCCGGGTCCTCTGCCAACGCAGAGGGTCTGCCTCCTTCTCAGGATTATGAGAAGGGGATGTTACATACTGGACAGAGCACTGGACTCGGAATTGGAAGATCTGAGTTCAAATACTGACTCTGCCTTCAGCTATCTTGGGGCAAGTCCTTTAACTTTTCAGAGCCTCAGTGTTTTCATCTATAAAATAGAAGTAGTGCTTGGCCTGCCAATATTACTGAAGTAGTGAGTATTGAAGTGAGTACTGAGTAGGATTGCATATTCACCGAAGTATCAAATGAGAGAACCACGTGCTGTAAAATGTATAAGAGAATTATATGAACGTTATCAAGTGCTGTGCACATGAACGTACCACATTCAGATTGTTTAATTAAAAATTGAAGCTAGTCTCTGCTCCCGTCCAAGAAGCAAAACCATCCTCAAGGAGAATCAGGCATTTTTCTGGCAGGTCATCTGCCTTTTCCAAGGATTTGGCCGAGCTGGGGAAAGTAGCCCACAGTAGCAGAGAACTCAGCCTGGCCTTGTGGAATCCACCCTGCCTGCCAGGACGGAGATCCTGCTCTGCGTCTAGAAGGACGTTTCCTATTTGTCCATTCCATAATGGGATCTACAGCCGAGTCGTAAATGACAAAACCAAATGCAGATGTTAGTGCTGTGTGGTGGTACCTCTTTCACTTTCTCCCCAGGCAGCTGCTCTGGGCCCAAGCAGTTGACATGCCTCCTGATTCAGTTCTCAGCACAGCATTAGCCTTCGCAGTAAGAACAATCTGCAAGCAACCTTGGGCAATAAAATGGGCTAATTCTTTCAGGACCGAGTACCAAGACATTCAGGCCATTTCCTGAAAGAGTTGGTACATTTTATTTAAAACAACAACAACAAAAACCTAACCGATTCCCAGGGAGTGTTAATAAATAGTGTTCAAAGATAATAAACATGAAATAGGTTTCATGAAACTCCCACCATGTGAGGATCTAGCATGTCCCAGAGCCTGGACTGTCCCTCCGGAAAAGTTGTGTCCTCCTTGCTGTTGTGCCTCATTTCACTGAATAAATTAAGAATCCTTTTGGAATCCATTATTTTACATCATTTCAGAATCCGGTGAGAAGGAGCACACCTTCTCCTTTGAGATTCAGGCCCCTAAGTCCCTGAAGACAGCTGGAGGAGATTTTAATCTGGATGCAAGGGGGCAGACTCCGTTTCAGGAGACATTTCCCTCTGAGTCCAGCTAACTTATATTCAATGCATGTCACGTAAAGAAAAGTTCTCTGCCACGTCTTCCTCCTTTTAAAACAAAAGTAGGAATAACGGTGAAGACCCTTCGAAGGATTTTAGAAGAAGGAATTGGTCAGGGTCTCAAAGAAAGTTGACCGCCGTTTCTCCAAACTGCCAAAGGCCTGTGAACAGAATGTGAAGAGAAACGGGCCCCCAAGGAGCTGCTCCGTGAAGCAGTGGCTTGGAAAACGTGGCCACAGGACCTGCCATGTGTCATTGCCCTGAGGGAGTGACGTTTCTTAGATATTGTTTTCAATCTCGGTGCAAAATATACCTTTTCTATTTCATATTGTTGTCGGAAAGATCACCATATCTCTCTCAGGTAGTGACTGCCAAGGTATTTTGAAATGTATCTACATAGATGAAATTCATGACGCCATGAGCCCCTCACGCTTTTGTCTGCTGTGAACTTGTATCTCCAGTGTCTGAAGGGAAAACCTGATTTGCTTTCCAGGCATTCGTTTTCCAACTAATTATTTCCAGAAACACATGTGATTCCACAGAGCGAGATGTTAAGACTTTATAAAGATCTGACTCGATATGAAACCCCGTGGAATCAAATGATCAGTCTGTGTGAACCGCCTCTTAGAGTTGCATGAAGTTGAGATATCTGACTTAATTTTTGCAACGTAACCCAGAAGTTTTCTCCCCCGTTCTGTCGTCTGTCTTGTTCAGCTTTTCCCTCACTTTATTTTTCCCAGTTCTTTAACATTTATTTGTGAAAGCACCAAGTATATTCTGTCTGTATTCCTCCCCCACGGATGCTCGTTTAAAATGTTTTTGCACTTGTGTCCTCTGTTCTTTACTTACACCATCTTTCACTGTACTGTGTATAGCACATGATTTCTCACCTACTCATGTGCCATTAAAGATGCAGTATTAACAAATTGGCTTTTACAAAGCGTTGGTATCTGCATTTATTTGGAAAACCCTCAAGGCAGCTTTGCAAATAAGTACTAAAACTATACTAGCCCATAAAAATTATTTGCTCTACTCATCTGGCATAGATGGCTAAATGTTTGGTGTGCTCACCAGGTTATTTGCTCCTCACTAACAGTTCTTCCTAAAGAGGAAATACAGGCTTTCTCTTCTCCCACGATACGGTTATTGAGGAATATGCCCATGTTCCGACCTGTCGTGGAGGGCAGCAGTGCGGTGCAGAATTCTCCATCCGTGGCCCGTGTGCCTTGTGCCTCAGGGCTGAGAATGATTCACTCCCTGCCCCTACCTCCGTTTCTCTGCTTTTTTAAACCCATCCTCTCCCACCTGTTGCAGCTTCTTGTTTTTGCTGATGTCCATAAAATGGATGATTGCTGCTATTGGATACAGTTGCTGTTTATCCCTGGAAACCACTGCATCTCTACTGGCCTGTTCCTATGTAATCTCTGCATAATGTTATCCTTCTCTCTCTTCCATTTCCCTGTCACCAACCCCTATAGAGTCGGGATATAAGCCCAGAAGAGATAGATTTAAAGAATGAACCTTGGTATAAATTCTTTTCGGAATTGGAGTTTGGGAAACCGGTAAGTTTAATAGCTTCAGTGGTTATAGACACCTTTTTAAATAATGCTGTTGATGCATTGTTGCTGCTAAAGAATCAGATCTGTTTGTAAGGAATGCAGGAAGTGGGGGGCAGCCATTTCAGTGGGCAATCGTGGGATTGTCTCTTCTCCCTACAACCTGTAAGCTTTCCCGCACTTTACTTCACCAAGAAAGGACAGTGAGCCCTGGAATTATTTCTTGCGAGAAAATCACAGAGAAACAAGACTAAATCATTGCACTAGAAACAAATATCACATACCTTGTAGCTGGCATTGTTTTGTCCATTGGTTCAATTACTTAACTAGAGTCTTTATGGCAAACTGAAGATAAAGCAGGAAAATGCATTACACACTGAGAGGAGCAGCATTGTTACTGCTTTAAAAAGATTTAAGTACATATGCAAAGGAAGTGCCCCAAACAGCCTCTGTATATAGATGTCATCCACAAATGCATCCCCATTATAGGTGGCTTTGGAGAATGATTTCTAGGAGTTAGTGTAATATTTCCCAAAACTTAAAATGGGATTAGGCTGAATGCTATATTTGCTAGAATTTCTCTGTGATGTCACTGAGTTGCCTTGGCACAAACTGATTTTTGGCACATACATAAGGAGGATTTTCTTAGCCCTTCACCCAAAGGTGTATCACCCAGAGGGGAGAGTTGAGTTCATTTTTCCACTGGAGAGGACTAGAAACTGACTTTCAACCTACCAGGCTGATCACAGAGCCGATTTAATATACGCTGGGACTGAAATACTGTCCTTTGCTAACAAATATGGAATTATTTGCAATGACCGATTCAGTAAAACAAACGAATCACACCATAGATTGTTTCATACCTGTCCCTAAAAGTTAATATCTCAGATGAAACTAATTTCGTTATTTGGCAAAGGAGAAATGGCTAGAAATGTGTGGATTTTGAAGTCTTACTACAGCTGCAAAAAAGAATTTACAGGTGGAGGAAGTTAAGTGTATAAAGATGAGACGTCTTATTTTGTTAGATGTTCGTGTGAAACTTTTTCATTAAGATGAAGACAAAGAGAAATGAAGCGGGTGCTGTGGAATTTCTAGTTTGATTCAGTGAGGCTGAGCTTTGTTAGAAAGTTGAGGCATCTTCTGAGTTAGGAGCACCTGACTTGCAAACTTCCCGCTGGTAGGAACGTTTTCCTCCTGCCTTGTCCTCTGCTAGACACCGGCGGCTCATAGCCCCTGAGCTGTCCTGAATGAACAGCGCCACCTAGTGACCAGTGCAGAGGGACGTGTCTAACCTGAAGTCTGCACCACCTTCTCTCCCCAGAGCTGTGGTGCATACCTCATTTCTCTGTTTTCTCCCTTTTTCTTATTTACCATTCAGACTTCAAAGAAGTCTACCTCAGGCAACCTTCTCCACACTCAAATACTGAACAGTATCTTAACCCTTTTCTTTTTCTTAAAACTTGCTCAATTATCTCACACCAAAAGCTACTTTTGAATTGTGTGGTCCCCTCCCCCCTCTGCCAAACAAACAAAAAAAGACCATGACTGGTATATATAATAATAATGCTATCCTTTCATCAAGGAAAGCAAAAAGCTGTCAGCTTTAAATTATGTGCAATAAAGAGTCCGTGCCATTGATTTTGCAAAGTCTTCTCAGAATCCACACATTTCTAGCCATTTCTCCTTTGCGAAATAACTTAGTTTCATCTGAAATATTAACTTTTAGGGAAAGATATGAAACAATCTTTATAATGTGATTCGTTTATTTTACTGAATCTGTCATTGCAAATAATTCCATATTTGTTAGCAAAGGACAGTATTTCAGTCCCAGCGTACATTAAATCGGCTCTGTGAACAGCCTGGTAGATTAAACACTGTTTCTGCTGGAAACCATGGTCTGAGCACCGCACAACCAATGCAAACAAATGTTGAGAACACAGTCCATTTGTGTAGTGGGACCTTCCTAGAATTGGTCTCCCTACTCTGTTGTTCTAACTGCCTCTTAATTATTTAAAGACTTAACGGTGCTTTTCCAAAATGCCATTTCCTCTGAGCCATGATGTTCCTTGCAGAGACCTTACAGTCCTTCTTAAATGAGACTATTTGAGTGGGTCTTTTAAAGTAGTAAAAGATAATACTGTGGAAGACTTGCCCAAATAACTTAATCAGTGCCCATATCCTGAGGAACAGTGTCAAGATAAACGGTTCCTCATGGTCAGAAGCATCCTAAGGGTGAGCTTATCATCTGGTTGAACCAATCTGATGACTGCCTCTTATGGCCAGAGTTGGGGAAGAAGGTGTGGTAGGGAGAAATTCTTTCTTCATTTCTGTCCTACCATCATCACTCTGGGCTATAATAAAAATAAGAGAGATAAATCAAAGTGGTGTAAACCACGGAAATTGTTTTGGAAGGTTTTTCAGTCATTCAGAAGCAGAATGAAATTAAAACTCCTACCTAATCACGTGGATCATCATTTTAATTTATTTTTTATTCCACACCAGCTCAGGACCCACTTCCCCCAAGTGAAGCCTGCCAGAACTTGGACACTAGAGATTTACCCTGAACTCCTTTCTTCCTCAACTCTTGCACTTAAAGCCCACCACCCAGAATGAGCTGAAATTGCAGCACGATTCTGTCTGTAGTACCTTTTAGCTCTGATACGTTGTTGTAGAATATCAAATAATTCAAGACTCCCGGGATCATTTTTGGAAGGATTTAAAACCAATTTAATTTGTAAGCACTGCCTTATTTTTTTGCAGTAAAGAAAGAAATGAGTAGGTATCCTAAGTGACTTTAAAAAGTCTACTTCTCCAGGGGAAGAGTCCAAGTGTAGTAAGCACTTAAAGATGAATGGTAATTGTTAATAGCACTACTTTACAAATTGCAGAGTATACATAAACAGAGATGGCATTACTGACCCATCACTGTCAGTGATGAAAGTCCCTTGGATTCAGATTGCAGATTCATTACTAAGTCCCTTGGATTCAAATTGCAGATTCATTACTAAGAGTCTGGATGTTAGGTTTTTTTCTTTTTCTCCCCTCTAATTTCTGCAGAAATCCATGTGATTTCTAGAAGTAAGCTCAAGGCAAAATGTCACAACATAAACCAATTTGAACGCTTGCATAGAGTTACAATGATATTTGCACAAAATTCCAGGAGCTACTAATGATCTCATCTTTTTCAGGGGTCATCGTATAAGACATTTCAGGTCTAAATAGGCAGAACAAGAAGGTTTAGTTGGTGGGGGAGAGGTTCAAGAATTACAGGAGGCTTGTAACTTCCAGATGTCCTACCCTCCGAACCCTTCCCTCATTAAATTCACGGTTCTCCTGGCAGTTTTAGGAATGCAGCTCTCATCCTAACTTAGAGTTAAAGGAGAAAAACATAATGCTACGGTCCCCCTGTTCAAATTCAGCTTGTAAACTGTTCTCTAAGGCAGACGGAGGGATGGCTGTACTACAGCAGAATTATCAAAGTCTGGTTAAGCTGTAAATGGAGATTTAAGTGTTGTCTAGTGGAATTATCTAGTTACACAGTGCATTTATTGAACACCCATTTTATGCCTAGATTTCATTGCCACAAACCACAGAAAGCACATTTTGGTTAAATTTACCCTCCCCTGGCCAAATCTCCAAAGTCACACGTTTATTAAACATGATGAATTTTGCCTTGGAGTAGACTGCTTCAAAAATGTAGAATCTCGGTGTCAATCTTAGTTTGAAAACAACAGTGAGGATGTATGTCAACTATACTTCAATTAAAAAAAAAAAAATGAGGAATTTTAAAGTTTTGATTTTTGTTCAAATTGGTGTTAATGCTTTTTTTTTCCCTTCTGTTTTCTTTTTTTACGTTTTCAATGTTTAGAATCCAACAATGACATACTCTTGAGATGTAGACATAGAAACTTCCCAGTTAACGTTTCCAGCTCCTAAATTCTGCAGAATCCCTCCCTGGGCAGCCTCCTCAGGAGGCCGAGTGCCCACTCCCTGTGCTTTGAGTTCACTTTTCTGTGTTGATACAGTTCTCCTAGCGTGCCCCTCTTTGTTTGAGCCAGTCTCCATGTTTGTCTTTATGTCTTTATGCTCATTTCTTCATTTCCTCCTCTGCTTCCCGTCAGCCTCCCAAAAAGATATGGGATTATACTCCTGGAGACTGCTCTATCCTTCCTAGAGAGGATAGAAAGGTAATTCTGCTGTGCCTCCTCCGTGGGCTGTGTGTGTGTTCTCTAGCCTGGTTAGTGTGAGTGTGTTGTGGGTTTTTTTCTTTTTTTCTTTTATTTTCTTAAATCACTTTTTTTTTTTTTTTTTAACTTGATAACTTGTTTTTTTTCTTTTGGCTTGGTGATAAAACTATTTAACAAAGTCTCTACGACTTCTACTAATGTTGAGAGGTTTTTAAAGCAATGCCTTATTCTCCTGACATATCCTATTTGTCACAGTCACTATACTCTGAAAAGAGAAAAAAATAGGTCTCTCGCGAAAGGTAGGTTTCCGTGGTATTTGTAGTTCTCTCTAGCAAGTAGAATAGACTTTTGAAGCTCTGAAGACTTCAGGATTTATATTTTCTCTGCCTAATGTTGCATTCTCTGTTTTCACGTCTTCACCTGATTTTTAGTGAGCTCTTGTGTTCGGTCATGCCATCTTTGCCTTATTAAAGCCCTAGCACTAAACAAATTCATTTTTCAAACTTAACCTTTCATTCTTTCTGCCTGTCCTCTAAACTAAAACATTCTTTCCCATCTTCTCTTTCTTGAACCAGACTAATCTAGAAAAAGATCTCAGCCTCTGCTCAGCAGAGTTAGAGGCACGCTTAGGAAACACGGAGATGCTTAATAAAGCACCCAGTGCACACCCGTCCCAGGTATTTCCTAGTTTTTCTCACGCTGTTGGTTTCTCTTCCAGCTTGGTTTTGTTTTCTTCTCTGCTCTCGGGTTTCGATGTTCTTGAGGCAATGAATGGTTATGCTGGGTCTTTATAAGCTGCATGGCTTTCTGACTCCTATTTTCGATTCCTCTCCCCGCCTCCCCAAGCTAATTTTTGCTTGGATTTCTTTTGAGCTTGGCATCTTCCTTAAAGGGAGTTTTTCAAATATGCAGGGTGGCTGGTGATTTAAACGATGCCACCCCCTTGTCATTCTCTTTCTCTGTTCTCGGGAGGGGACCCTTATAACTTCCTGTCCTTTGCCTCCGTATACCTGCTCCAAATTTTCCAGGAGCCACTTTTGGGGGCAATTCCCTTGTCTTTTTTTTTTTTTTGCAGCCCTGGGAGATACCAACCTCAGAGATCACTTTCAGAAACATGGTGGCGGTGATTTGAGTGCCTCTTACATGCATGACATGTACTGGCAGAGTAGTTGTATTTGTCATTTAAAGGGTCAGAAAGTTCTCAATGAAAAAATGCACTCCAGAGACCAGACAGCCTGGCCACAAACAAGCATTTGAAACTCAACCTGTACTGACATTTCTAGAGGGGGCTATGTCAAAATGTGGCTTATTGAAGGCTATGTCAGAGAGAGAGTCCAAGGTAAACAGGTTCCCAAGGGGAAGAAAAATACCAAGTATTTGGAGAACCGCCCCCAGGGCTCCCTGACAAAACAAAAGACTCTTACAAGGAAAGGGTTTCTTTACAGAAAATAAAAAAGGCAGGCAGACACTGCTGAAGAGGCTAGGAAGGTCCACAGACTGTGGCAGGAAAAGTGGAAAATGCTATGGATCTTGTTCTATTTAAGCAGAACTGAGACAAGGAGGGTCAGACCTCCAGCATGAGTGACTCGGGTTATGAAAAGTCTTGAGTGCCAGACCCTTAAGCCAGGGAAGGAGTGAAGAACCAGGGGGTTATGGCAGCAGCCAAGGTGGGCTGAGATAAGGTCAGACGCTGAGGAACTGTAGGCCAATCAAGGAAGTTGTGTTTCCAGGCCCCTCTTCAGAACTTTGGGGAGGCACGAAGTTGAGCCACGGTGCGCACAGTCAAAGCAGATAGGTCGTGGAGCAGGGAAAGGGGATGCTCAGTTTCAACCAGGGCAGAGACTGGAACCAGCTGTAGCCACTGTGGGATGGAAGGTCTGAGCTAGTTCAAGAGTGAGAACTAACGGCAGGTAAGTCCTAAAGTGCTCCGGGGTAGGACCGGAGTGCTAAGATTACAGGTCATAAAATGAGTCAGGGGTCCCCTTTTAAAGTAGTCTAATAGGAGCAGCCCTATAACACATGCAAGGATGGAGGGGCAGCTGGAGAATTACTGAACTCACTGAGGCCTCCCTGAGGTCAGAGGCAGCTTCCAGTACCTGGACTCCTGCCCAGGCCAAGGTGGGGCACCAAGAAGGGTCTGATGCATGAATGAGTCATCTTCACATTGGTTCAGTTACATGTTCCCCATGAGTCCCTAATAGGTATGGGACATGCTGAGAGAGGCTCTAAATCCGGCAAAAACAATGAAATTTGCCTTTAGGAACATGACCGTTTAGGCACACTCATAAATAAAAGATCTCCAACAGTACACAGCAGTGCCTGTGAAGAGCTAAAAGAATGGTATGGGCTCTAAGTGCCAGGAGGAAGAGTGATCTTGTGGAAAAGTAGGGAAGACTTCCCAGGGGAGTTAGCCGGGACCTTAAAGGATGGGTGCAGTGTAGGTACGTGGTAGAAATAGGGGGCATCCATGTGAAGCACAAAAAGAGCACAGAAGTGATCGTGTTTAGCATGTATTCAAGGAATAAAGTAGAAGATTCAGCTATAATAGAAAATTGGGGGTGGTGGTAGTGATGGGTAGGTGTAGGAAAGAGGGTTGACCCTGGATTGTAGAGGCTCAGAAATACAGTTAGGAGATGATTTTGTGCACAGCCCAATGATGTGGTTCAGGAGTTGTTTTAGGAAGGTCGGCATCCTCTAGAGAGGCTGGGTTGAAAGGAGAACCTCCAGTTGGATGTGCAGAGGGCAAGGAGGCTACCGTGGTGGTCCAGGCATGGAGTGATGAGAGCCCACACTCCAGTGGCATTAGCATGAAGGGGGGAGGGGTGGTATGAGAGTGCTCACAGAGGAAATTGCAATGGGACATTTTAACTAATTGGTGTGAAGAACAAAGAATTGGATGGAATAGGGACAGAAACAACTCTAGGACTCTACCCTCCCCCACTCCCAGTTGCCCACCATTATTCCTCAGAGATTCCTAGGGTTTTGGCCAGAAAGCTGGAAGGATGAGGACATCAGTATGTCACATAAGAAAGATGGGGAGAAAATCCGTGGAGAGGTAAGATGGAGCTAGTTTTAGGTGATTCATTCGTGAAGTGTTGGCTGGATATCACCTAGGGCATATCCAGTAGGCAGCTGGAAATAGAAGACTATGTCTCCTAAGAGAGGAAGGGGCCTACATAGTCAGTTGGAGTCACCTTAAGAGAAATGAAGGCTGAAGTCCTAGGAGCAGATGGCAGATTGAAGGACAGGAAGGATGAGAGCAGTAACTACCCACTGGGATGTTGGATGACAGGGAGCAGGAGAAGAAGGGGAGGATCAGAGGGTGAACAGTTCAGAGAAGAAGGAGGAAAAGTAGTAGAACAAGAAGAGAAAGTATGACAACTACCTGGTGCTCCAGAGAGGTCCCCAAAAGTAGACTCTGAGGAAAGGTCAGTGGATTTGATAACCCGGAGGTTTCTAAACACCTTAGAGGTTGCTGGGAGCTAGAGAGTAGGGAAGCATCTGGGGATCCCCCAGGGGTACAGCACTGTTGAAAACATGTGAATGTGGAAGGAAGGGGCGGGAGCTGTTCCCAGAGGACTCTGCAGGGTCACACAAAAGTTTTCCAAGATGGAGACCAGGGCATCATCTTCAAAGTGGATGAAGACCCAGAATAGGACAGGTGCCGAGGTGAGAAATGGGCAGGAGACAACGGGCAAGAGGGCTGCCTTCTCTGAGGAATAATGGTGGGCAACTGGGAGTGGGGGAGGGTAGAGTCCTCATGCTGGGGCAGAGGCGCCCTCCAAAGTGAGAGGACCCAGCAGGTTGAGGGTGGGTGTTCAGCAGGTAGAGGACCAGGTGGGTGAGCCCCGATAACGGTTGCTTCCCCTCCCGTCCTCGCATCCTTCTTGGACAATCTTCCTTTTCTGTCTCCTGCTGTTTCTCTCCTTTCCCCCAATATCTCTTTTCCAGATAGCATCTTTTCCTTGAAATGATTATTATTTAGAGATAGAAGTATCTTTTAAAAGTTAACCTTTTCATCGATTTATTCAACTACCACATTATTTTTTAAAAAATATATTGAGCCCTTTGCCTTTTTTTTCTCCAAGACAACAACAGAAAGCTTAAACTACTTAATTATATTGCCTTTTCTCTGCATGTGGCTTTTGGTTGTTTTCTTTCTTTTGCATAGTGGCCTGTCATTTTATAAAATGCTCCCCCACTCCTAGGTTTTGTGAAACTGCATTTCTCCCCATTTCCACATTCTAAATCTGCAGGGTGAACAAATGATCTAAATACAGTGTGGTCTTTTCAAATGCATTTTTTGTATTTTCTGTACCTAAGGTGTTGGGTGACCCTCTCTCTGGAGGTGGCATCTGGGGTGCATGAAGGAGTCTCTGGTGGGCTTGTCCAGGGGCTCTGAGGACTGGGGATAAGCTGATGACGGCGGTGTTGTCTTGTCCATGTCACTAATGCATGTTGGCCAGATGGTGGGCTATCCACCTCGTAGATCTATCTTTATATGAAAGCTAAGTCTAAGCTAAGGGGTCATTTTCCACCTCACCCAGAGAGCGAGAGCACCCACTGGCCCAGAAAGCGTCCAGCACTGAGACCTTTCCGGCCAAGGGCCCCATCTCCCAAAGGTCCTTGGCTACATCAGGAAAGGAAAGGGGCTGCTCTCTTTCCCCCTTGACTTGGAACATCTGATGCAAAATCAGTGATCTACATTCTTTTCTTTTCTTTCTTTTTTTGACATTTACAGAGCTCAGCAGTCAGCCCCAGCCCGGAAATTTCTTCAGAGCTTCCTGGATAGTAAGTTGCCACCACGTACATGGCTTCATGTATTAATGTCAGAGATGGGAAGAGGCTTGTGTTTTGGATCCGAGTATGTTTTATTTGTATCAGTCTCGTGGCTTTAGTGATAAGTAGCCATTTAATCATTGTCCTCAAATTATGTTTCTTCTGTTTTCTCCTCCTTCTCCAAATTAATTTTGCGATGATTCCTATTACCTTTGAGAAGCTTTTTCCTGTGTTGGCATCTTTACCTTTAGAATGTGAGTTTGTCTGAGTTTGGAATCCAAGCTCACCTCATTTGGTGGTTCTTGGAGGCGATGTGTGACTGAGACAGGCTGTGCTGGGCATAAAGGTGGGGGGATGGTGGGGTTGGGTCCTGGGGTGGCACCTGTCACAGGGAAAGATGGGGCCAAGAGGGGGCGGACTTGACTGATGCTGAGAAATGTGGATTTATTTCCTTATACCAGTCAGGATTCTGCCTGGGTGATAAGTGCACACTCCGCTCACTTCGTGGAGTCACCACCAGCCTCTTTCCCCCTCTCCAGACCATCCTGAGCCCTGTACGGATTACTTTTCTCAGTACTTTGCCATGCGGCCATTATGCCAGCTGAAATGTCTCAGTCCTGTCCCCTACCCCTTTCTTACACAGTACATGGCGAGCTCTGAGCACGTATAAATAGGCCCTGAGCCTCTTTGTACCCAATTTAATGTTAAGGCCTCTTATGGCACTTCTGTGGCTGGGTACCTGAATCATACTCATGTATTTTTATAACTGCTGATAAATTAGAAACTCCCTGAAGGCAAGGGCTGCCTCTCTGGGGTACCCGGTGCCCCCAGTGGAATTGGGTGCTTGTTCTGGTGGAAACAGCTTCTCGTCACCATCGTATCTGTATCTCAGTCTTGGAAGTATGATGAGGGCCAAAGGCACAACTGTTGCCTGTTCCTTTGGGGTTGGGTAAACCCACAATGAGCAAAATCCACCTCTTCAAATAGAAACCTGGCTTGATCGGAATGCTGAGTTTATAGAATTTTTGGCAAATGTTGTGGTCACTTGGGAATGTCCTACCTACCTTGCCAAAGAATGAATTCAACAAGAGTAGTTTCATTTGAAAGTCAGTCAGCTGGGGTTAGGGTATTTCAGTGGAAAATTAGAAAAATCTTTTTTTTTTTTTAAAGATGTTATTTATTTGACTGATAGAGAGCACAAGTAAGGGGAGTGACAGACAGAAGCAGAGAGAGAAGGAGGCTGCCTGCTGAGCAAGGAGCCTGATGTGGGACTTGATCCCAGGACTCTGGGATCACGACCTGAGCTGAAGGCAGATGCTTAACTGATTGAGCCACCCAGGCGCCCCCAAATTGGAAAAGTCTTAATTCTTTTAGTGACCAAACCTCTCACTAGATCCATTCTGTTCATTTTTTTTCTATAAATATGTGTGTTAATGATTATGATTAATGTACCCCAGCGCAAGAAGAAATTGAGAAGATATATTAGAACAGCAGCTAGAAGGGAAGTTACCTGCCTTAGGAGACAGTCCGCCTTGGGAAAAGTCCAGGCATTAAGTCTTCGCCTACTGTGGGGTCGGTCATCAGGCCAGCAGTGTGACAGACATCAAAGCTCAGATCTAGCATCTTCCCGATCTCCCTCCACTCTGGGCTCTGAGACTCATTCTCTTTAAAGAGCTAGTTGAACTGTGCCTTCAGCTGCAAGGATGACAAGTCACAGGTCCTCTAGGTCCCCAGAGATGTGCTTTCAGAGATGAAGTACACCAGATGACCTTAGGCTACCTGCAGATAAAGGCCACAGCTCCAGGGTGACAGGGTGGCTCAGGTGGTTAAGCGTCTGCCTTCGGCTCAGGTCATGATCCCAGGGTCCTGGGATCGAGCCCCGCATCGGGCTCCCTGCTCCGCAGAGAGCCTGTTCCTCCCCCTGTTTGTGTGCGCTCGCTTGCTCTCTCTCTCTCTCTGACAAATAAATAAGTAAATAAGGCCACAGTTCCCTGCAAACTCTCCTTGGTCCCTGAGGCCACCTATTTGTCACTTGGACAGTCCTGACTGCCCACTGATTGCTCCAGATCTCTCCCTGCCCCTATAATCCTGTTTTCAGGATGGCTCAGTGTTAACCCTTCTGCCTGGTCTCCCCCCCTCAACCCCCTTTCCTTTTCCCATCTCCCCAGAGTGCGTGGGACAGGAAAGGCTGCTTCTGGTGGCTGGCCGAGTGAATTCCTTAGTTCACTTGGTGAGTTCTTGCTGGATCTAGGGCACCATGCTCTGTATTATAGCATAAGATACAGTACCTTAGTAGTTTTGGCAGCAAAAACACCCCCCCCCCAAAATGTTGGTAAATGAGAAGGCAAAGTGGCAAATGAAGGAAGGAGACCAAGGATTAAAAGTATTCAGGTTTGGGCCCCCGGGGGTATAATCAGTCAATATAATAAGTTAATAAATATAATAAATAAGAATGAAAATAAATCATAAATGTATTCAGAAGAGAAAGCAGTACCCACGGGCTGTCAAAGTTAGGAATGCAGGTCTTGAATGAAATAATCCCAGTGACTTGCTGGACGTTTACTATGTGCCAGGCCCTGCAGTTAGCATCGTACATTCATTCCCTCATTGAGTCCTTTCACCATTCCAGGAGCGATCCCCATTTTATACGTGAGTAAACAGGTCCGTAAAGGCAGCGTGATGCCCATGATTCCACAGTTGGCACCTGGCAGAGCTGTAGCTGGAGGAGAGACATTGAAGTTCTAGGCCAGGGGATGGTGTTAGCGATAAGGTCTCGTCTGCACCGTCCTGATTCAGAATGGGGCAGGAAGTTCACAGAAAGCATGCTACAGTTGACTGGTTTTGAGTGATTTAAAAAAACAGTGTAAGTAACTATGTATAATACCGTTAGCAGGATCGAAGGGGCCGAACGCAAACTGCTTAAAAGAGCAAATTGCCTTCAGACATTCTGAGTATTTGTGGACCTAAAGATATTTGCTGGGTTAATTTATCAAGCGCTCTTATTTATGTCATTGAAATAGGTCTCCAAAGACCTCTGTGTTTCAGCCGTAGCCTGGCTCTCATGAACTACTTGGGAGGAATAGATAAGTTTTATCCTCCTGCTATTCTTCCAGTTGGGGATTTTTCAGTAAGGCAGGTGGGGTTTTCTTTCAGTTTGTTCAAACGAGGAAGTAAGGTTTGGAATTGTTGGGGAGCCTGACACCCAGGGAAGTGCACAGCAAATGTTTGCTGAATAAATGAATGAGCTTGTGAGTCTTAATTAACCAGCATCCAGCGCGCTCAGCACTGAGGTCGGCAACTTGCAGACTGAATCTGGCTCTTCTCACTGGATGGTTGGGAAGGATGTATTGAAAAAAAAAAAAAAAAACGTTGGCAAGACTGGACTTAACCCCAGGGATTGAAGGAGAAGACGCAGGAATGGCTCAGGTTCAAAAACATCGTAATTAAAAAAAAAAAAAAAGTCACTGGAGAAGTTGTGTTAAATCCATTTTCATATCTTGGACAGACTTGCAGTTTTAGAATTTTATTCATTACCATGATTACATATCACAATGTTAAAAGAATGTGGGTGTAGAGAGAAAGAAATTTACCCATAGTCCCAATATCCCAGTAGAACTACCAGTCCTTACTGTCAAAAAATATTTTTTTTTGCTTGCAGTCACAGTGTCCAGTTTTGTATTTTATCTTCCTAGAGTTATCAGATCTTAAATCAGCCCTGAAGAGTACTCATTTTCTTCATTGGCATTTCAGCTTGGATTAGCAATCATACATTTTATTGCCTAACCAAAGAGCTTTCCTCTATTTGGCCAGCAAGTGGCGCTCAAGAACAAGCTGATTTTTCCTCAAAAAACCCTTCTTTCTCTTAACCTAGGATCAAAACACAAATCATTACCTGAAGAACTAAATGAAACGCTAGAGACTCCACTGGGCCTTGAAAATGTAATTTTCATTTCTCAGAAATCTGCATGTGAGCATTTAATTTTATAGAATCATTTATTCTACTAATATTTATTGAAAAGCAGTGCTAGGCGCTAGGCATGCAAAGATTAATAAGATAAACCGCCTGCCCTCAAGGGGCTCAGAGTGTAATGGGGACACAGACTTGTAAATCACAGTTAGAATCCAGTATGGTAAACGCAGTGACAGGACCCAGGAGAGAAGGAATGACAATCACATATTATAAATCTAAAAGATCATTTTCTTCCTGCAGTACAGAGGCTAAAGATGAAACTGCCCTCCCCAGATTTCCTAGACTTCTTTCCCCAAAGCCATGGTTTAAAGCAGTTACTTTTTTTTTTTCCCTGCTGAAACCAACAAATGGTTTTGGACAGTGAATTCCATGAGGCTGGAATTTTTTGTCTATTGTTTTCCCTGTTGAAGCTCCACCTAGGAGAGTGATTCACACTTAATAGGTGCTCAGTAAATATTTGAGTGAATAAAATGAGCAGTGGAATGACCTCGTGAGATCTTTTCTAGAAATACCATTGGCAGTGATTTGCAGAGATGACCAGAGCGAGTCAGGGCTGAAGAGGCAGTAGTGAGGGTGTGCTTACTGCAGAGGTGTAGGTGAGCAATGGTGAGGTGGTAGCCGGGGAGGTCGAGGGAAGGGACTGGTGCACGCTGTGTCAGGACAGGGAGTAAGCAGTACTTGGTGACTGGTTAGGCTTGGGGAGCAAGGAGAGGGAGAAAGGGGTTGATTCCCTGGGCTTTCTGGCTTGGGCCATGGGAGACAGGAACAGAGCTGGGTTTGATTTGGGGCATGTGGAGTTTAAGATGCCTGAGGAATACCCAGGTGGAGGTGTCTAGAAGGCAGTTGAATGTATGCATCTGGAGCTCAAAAGGAAGGTCTATATAATAACAGATTTGAAGGTGGATTTCTTGGACAGTCTTATCATACCTATTGGTTTTACAGATGAAAGAACTTGGGCAACAGATTGTTTCCAAGTTTTTCAAACAGAGTAGGTTATCCTTAGCTGATGCGCATTGCTCGTTGGAGTCAGGCTGGAGTCCTCCGGAGCCCATCTGGTTACAGGGTTGCAAACTGTTGACCCTAAGAGGATCACTCCATTCTCTCACTTTCTTCTTCCAGTGAGTGTGTTTTTGTTGAATCCCCTTGAAACTCAGCGCCCTTTGCATCTTAGTCAGAGGGCGAGTTGTCTGCGCTGTGTCCTCCAGCCTGCTGTCTTTGACCTGGAAACTGGCTCAGCCCAGGCTGCTAAACTAGGCTTGTTCTGTTAACGGGGTCGTAGCTGCCAATGCTGATTGGGCTTTGCTCATCAGCCCCGCTGCTTTTCTCATCCCGTTTGATCTCTTTGAACATGGCAGAGACCCAGCAACTCTGTGACCTTCAACAATTGCCTTCAGCACTCTGGTCCTCAGTTTCCCTTTGGTACAATGGGACAAATGGTATCTGTCTTTCCAACATTAGGAGATGTGATGGTGAGGATACATTTGAAAACATTGTTCCAGAGCTTGTAGATGTGTTTTTAACCAAGGAGGGCCTCAGTTGGGAAGTGTTGCCCATCTGGAAAAAGCATGTTGGCTTCAGTATCAGAAAGAAAACAATTAGCTATAGCAAATCCCTTCTGAGAGATTTCCTGAGTGCTGGTTTGTCATTCTGGTGGGGAAGCAGGACGAAATGGTGATAATGGATGGAATAAAGCCAGAAAGTGGAGTGGCTGAGGGCAGGAGGGGATTTCTGACAGGTCGTGAGGTAGGGGAGGTGTGAAATCAGGCAGCTGGGTGCGGCAAGAGTCATGACCAAATGACGTTAGGTGGAACCAGAAAAGACCGGCTTGGAGTTTATGACCGAGGCTGAGGCAGTTCAAAGGACAGCAGGATAGAAGCCTCTGGCAGTCCCTCCCCAGTGCTGAGGGCAGTCTGGTGACCCAAAACCAGGGCAAGCAGGGCCTAAGAGACTGTCCGCTCACCACTGCAGTTGGTTGGCAAGGCTAAAGGACACCTGTACGTGGACCTTTTAGAAGTTGAGATTGTATAAAAAGGAGCACCGTGGGGTTAAACTGAAGGACAGAACCGGAAAATGCAACCAAAGTGAAGGCAGCCTCTGAAAGGGAAACTGAGAAGAGGGGCAGATTTATTTTTAATTATGAAATTCAAAGTTAAAGTCCATTTAGATGAGCTTACATTGACTGAACTTGGCATATAGAGTGCCACAACCTTGCAAGTCACCTTTCAGGGTCCTCCTGTCCTCTGGCTGGAGTTGATGCTTTTATCAGTCAGAAGGTTGGGGGGGATATCTTCAAGCCCCCCTACAGGTAGAGCAAAAGCTGTGTGGGTGGCAGCCCTTGTTCCGAGGCCTCTGTCTCCAGGGTGGGAGTGGACACCCCCGGTCAGGGGCCAGGGCACCAGCAAGGCCAGCCAGCCTAGGCCTGGGCCATGCTAATTCCCTGTAGTCTCTCTGTTTCCACCGTTCTGAGGGCTCCGTAGTCACTGACATCAGGAGCCTAAGTGAATGTGATGACATTCTTATACTTACGGAAGAATTCTAAACACACTTCATGAATCAAAGCATTTCCTTAATCAGATCATGTGTGCCAATTTTACTTTCAGAAAGTGTGACCTCGTATTCATTCAACAAATATTTATTGGGTATACTCATGGACCCTCTCGTGGGCCCCTGCAGTTAAGGGCACGGCCTGGGGGGAAGAGACTTGCCCCATCATGCCCCTTCCGGAGGTTTCTCCCCTCTGAGACACGCTGGAGGCTACTGTGCAGACTGAGTTCACTTACATGCTTTTATGGTCTCAGCTTTATGAGTTGGTTTTCTTTCCCCTTAAATTTTCAGTAATGTTCTTCTGTCTAGGCTGAGAAGAGGGGAAAAGCATTTGATCCCCTGACGTAGGCCGGAGAGAATGAGGAGAAGGGACGGGGTGGGGGGGGACCCCGACCTCCTAGGCAGTCCCCTGAAGTAGAGGAATCAAAGCCCTGAAAGGCAGGCTGGGCACATGGGAAGGGGCTAGGAAGTGCTGGCTGCCGAGGGCTGGAAGCGGTGCTGCTGCTCAGGGAACTTCCCTCCTTGGGGGTAGACACATTGCCCGTTGTACCAGAGGCTCCTCCTCCTTTCCATTTCTGACTCCTGGGCTCTGGGGCCTCTTGTGCCCCGGAGTACGTTCACGGCAGGGCTCGAGCATCCCTGGGCCTCCCGTGGTGTGCACGCCTGGGCTCTCACTGCCTCCTCATTCGTGGGGAAATGCTCGGCTAGGGGTGCTGGGTGGTGCCCAACGACGCAGCTCAAGTTCTGGCTCTGCCGTTCCCCAGTCAGTGCCCAGATCTCTTGGTGCCTCCTTCCCTCGTCCAAAAATGGGGAAAGTAGGATTGTTTGTGAGGATTAAAGAGAGAAGGATCGTCAAGCCTCCCACATAGGACATCTCAGCACGTTTAGTAGAGTTGCTGCTGCCATTATCTGTGACCATGGCGACCGAGAGGCTGTGTGAGATGTAGGAATAATCCCATCGTGGAGGGATGGGGAGAGGGAAAGAGATCGGAAGATGTGTGATACAGCAAAGGAAGTCCAGAGTTGTGTGTCCAGTCTGGGGACCCAGAATATGTGGGGGTTCACTATTATAATTACTTAAGTTTTTCTATACACTTGATACTATTCATCATAAAATATTGGGATAGAGAAATTCTATCAAGCTGTTTACATCTCCAGAGCTAGAAAAAAAAAAAAAAATCCATACTGATACCAGTAAACCGAATTCAGTAAGACCGAAAAGCAGCCAAGCAGAGGCCTGAGTACTTCAGTGGGAAGGGGGTCGTTCCCTTATCTGAGTGTGTGTCTGTGTGTCTCCATGTGTCAGTAGGGGTGAGGGCGTAGAAAACTGGGATTAGGGGAAGGGAGGGGCTCAGTGAGTAAGTGCTCTTAATTTTTTCTGCGCCCCACCTCATTCCTAAAAGGATTTGTGGTAACTTGCAAAAATACCTAGAATTTCAACAAGATAAAAATAAATGAAAGATGTAGACGAGCCATGTTTATACTCCTATTACATGTCATAAGATTCTGACTATGAATTTTGAAAGAAGCTGGTGTAACATGTGGCTGGGATGATAACAGCATATAGAATCCCGGGTTCCACTTTCACTTGGTGGCTGATTTTCCTGGAGACCCGGGAGAATGGTTGACTTCAATGCTCCGTCAACCAAAGCGCTTGTGAAGAATAACCCAGAAAAATAATCCAAGTGGTGAACTTGAAGTCACCAACTCCGGCAGGCGACCTGTCAGAGGCTCCACTCACGTGCTCGGCTGTGTCATCTTGTGTGAAGCTGCTGGGCCCTCAGCAGCCACCCACCCCTCCCCACCCCCTCCCAGCCTGCCCTCCCCAGGCCAAGTTTCTCAGTTACTCTTTTAAAGCACAAATGCAGTCATCTCAGCACTTTTGCTCTTTGGTCAGATTCCTGAGCATTTGGGGCTCCCCCTTGGGCTTGTCTTGTCCGAAGAACTCTAACTAAATAAGAATACCCTTTAGAAAGTTCGGTGCTTGATTAGGATGCCAAAAAGTGTGCCTCTTGTCCTCAGGTGGTAATGTGCTTTTGAGAAAAATGTCAAACATTCTAAGTCCCGTTCTTTTTCTCTCTTTTAAAATTACATTGTCTTTAGTATCTATTCTTCCAACTTCCACGCAGTGAAGAGGGAATCAGACGGGGCTCCCGGGGATCTCGCTAGTTTGGAGAACGAGAGGCAGATTTACAAAAGCGTCTTGGAAGGTGGAGACATCCCTCTCCAGGGCCTGAGTGGGCTCAAGCGACCCTCCAGCTCAGCCTCCACTAAAGGTAACTGGGTGAAGCCTGCGGGGCTCCGGCCCAGCCACACGGTTTTCCACATGCCTCTCGCCCGTGCAGGCCCAGTGTCGGGGTGTCGGCAGCGGGTGACTTCCAGCTACTGGAATATCCTTTGCCTGGTGCAGGTCCATTTCCAGGCCTTTGAGCCCTCTGAGCCCCCTCTCCCAGTTTTTCACCGGCCATTTTTCTTTCTGGTATTACTTTCCCTTCCTTTGAACCCCAACGTTGCTCTCCCTAAAGCATCTCTCTCTTTTTTGTTCTGATTCCCTTTTCTTAGGACATAGCTGAGCCTTAACCCTTCGTAACTGTAGCAGGGTGGCCATTTTTTGTTGCATCTTTGCTCCTGCTTTGCAGCACAGATTATTTTGCTTCCGGACATCGACTGGAAATTTAAAAAAAAAAAAAAAAAACAAAAAACCCTTATGACAAATGAGCATGTGACCTCTCCTTTTATTTTCTTTTTAAGCAGCTTTCAGCTTTAACCTAATGGGTCTGTTTATTTTATTCTGCATGCTTTCCAGTGGATCGTAAAGGTGGGAATGCTCACATGATTTCTTCATCTTCAGTTCCTAGCCGAACGGTTAGCACTAGCAATGCATTAGGCCCCGTGTGTAAGCACAAGAAACCCCTGTCCGCTGCAAAAGCCTGCATTTCGGAAATCCTTCCCTCCAAATTCAAACCCAGGCTCTCTGCTCCCAGCGCTCTTTTGCAGGAACAGAAGAGTGTCTTATTGCCGGCAGAAAAGGCTCAGAGCTGTGAGAACCTTTGTGTTTCATTGTCTTTGAATGATTCCAAAAGAGGTCTCCCCCTCCGAGTGGGGGGAAGCATCGAGAACCTGCTCCCGCGCTCCCGGCGGGAGTGGGACAGCCAGTCGAGCAGCACCGTGAGCCTCCAGGAGTGCGGCACCAGTGCCAGGAGGCCCTGCCCTCTCTCCAGAAAGGCCGGGATGCAGTTCACCATGTTCTACCGGGACATGCACCAGATCAACCGAGCTGGCCTCTTCCTGGGCTCCCTCTCCTCCTCGAGTGTGCGAGATCTTGCCTCCCACTTCGAAAGGAGCAGCCTGGCATTGGCCAGGGGCGAGCTGGGCCCCAGCCAGGAGGGCTCGGAGCACATCCCCAAGCACACCGTCTCCTCCCGCATCACAGCGTTTGAGCAGCTGATTCAGCGGTCCCGGTCCATGCCGTCCCTGGACCTGTCCGGGAGGCTGAGCAAGTCCCCCATGCCTGTGCTGTCCCGGAGTGGCCTGACCTCAGCCCGCTCGGCTGAGTCCCTCCTGGAGTCAACCAAGCTGCGGCCCCGGGAGATGGACGGGATGAACCCGGGGGGGCTCTACGCCGCCCCGACGTGTAGCAACATGGCCGAACCCACCTTGGGCTTCAGGGGCCTCGTGCCTTCTGAGCCCCTCTCTGCCTGCTCTGACGAGCTGGACCACTGTTCAAACATCTCCAGTGACAGCAGGGAGGGCAGCAGCAGCAGTGTCCACGGAGACTTTCCCAAGCACCGCCTCCCCAAGTGCAAGGGCACCTGCCCAGCCTCGTACACCCGCTTCACCACCATCCGGAAGCACGAGCAGCGGCAGACGTCCAGGCAGCCCGACTGGCGCCCAGATCTCAGGGGGGACAGGAGCACACTCCTCAGGAACATCTACCTAATGAGCCCCCTCCCTTTCCGGTTGAAAAAGCCCCTCCAGTACCACCCCAGGCAGCCTCCCCCTGGTGACTTCTCAGCCCCCCTGGCTGGCCAGAAACCAGACCTGCCCAGCCAGCCCCATCAGGACGAGACCCCCTCTGAGGGGAAGCCCTCGGTTCCCAGACGCCTGTCTTCCCGACACACCATGGCGAGGCTGAGCCGGATCTCGGAGCCCCCTCAGGGGAGACCCGCAGTCCCAGAGGACTGCCTGAGGGCCTTTCATAATGGCAACTCCATGCCGTACTCAGACCCTGGCCTGGACAGGAACAACAACCCACACAGTGAACTGGGAACATCCCTCGGAGGTGGCATTTGTGTATTTGCCCAGTCTCACCTCACCCGTCTCTCCACCTTGCTTGCTCTGTCCCCTTTTCCCGTGTGCCCTTGGTGCTCATTTTCTGGTCTGTCTTTTGTTTTCTGTTTGTTTTGCTTGGCAATTAATCATGGCTCGTAGTGGCTGCACTTCTTTAAAAACAAAGCCCCTCATGTCATTTAGACTAACCACCAAACTCTGTTTCGAAAGAAAAATTGGCCGTTTAGCTCAGCTGAGAAATTCGTCCATTTGAACTCTTGAACCCCTTGGAGTTCACGCCAATCCACCGTCACCCCACGGTTTTTTGAGAGGCAGCCTCTCCCAGTGGCCCTGTGTGTGTGTGAGTGTATGGTGTGTCCCTGTAAGATCCTGCACGCCTCTTAGGAGGGACACTTTTCAGAGAAGGTCCTCTCTCCGCTCACGTTTTGCCTTCTGATGAGTTTGCTTTGTATTAAACTGGCTTTTACAAGTACATCCAAAAAGGGGGGGGGGCGCGGATTTGGTTCCTCTTCAGAATTTGAGTATTGGTCAATAATCCATGACAGTAAAAACTTGATAATGGCTGAAGGGTGAAATCTTATCCCAGTCTGGTTTCCCACTAAATCTTTGCGTGTTTTAATTCTACTTTGTTGTTTTGAAGATTCAGAATCACCAAGACATTTTATACCTGCTGATTATTTGGAATCCACGGAAGAATTTATTCGGAGGCGTCATGATGATAAAGAGGTAAATGCCATCTTGAAAACCTCTTAGCTCTTAGATAAAAATATGAAGGAAGCGAACATTCTAGACATCTGTCAGGTGACATGACCTAGGAATGGGAAGCGAAGATTGGCATCTTCACAAATGGCTTTTTATGTGGCATAAGCTCAATTGTTCCACTTCTCCAAAAAGTAGGACTGATATCCCCACAGGCACTAGGTTCTAAATGCCAAGTCCCACTAGCGTCCCTGCAGGGGAGGTTCGCCCTGCATTCAGCGCCATGTGAGGGGACCCGCAGTTGGCTCCACTCACTCACCCCCTCCCCAGTCCCCGCCTTATTATTCTCTACATATATCCCCAGTCTTGCCCACCCCTCTGTTGGCACAAAGCACAGTTCCTGTTGGAGAGGGTGCAGCAGGAAAAAGGAGACTGAGAAGTAATAAATAATGACCACCATGATACATTTTATAAAGTAATTTGAAGAAGTTGCCTTTAACTCAGAAGAAGAGGTACCCCCATAGATGCCGGGAAACCCCCACCAAGAACTTCCGGGCACGCACCTCTTCTAGCAGCGGCTGAAATGTCTACACGGCAGTGGAATGACTGGGGAAGGAGCGTGTTCTCCTGGGATTTCGAAAGAGGCAGTTCTACGTATCAGCCAAAGGGGCAAAATCACAAGGGTGTGTTGTGATAAAGTCGTGTTTCAAGGCATGCTTTCTGGACTTTGCATTCCCAGCAGGAAGGGTCCAATAGACGAAACCAGCTCCAGGGACCATTTTCCCGTGTCAAGTTAGGAGGTGGAAGAATTGCTTTGAGCCTGGTGCCAGGAGGAGAGAGTGCCCGTGTGTACACAGCTCTGTCCCTTTCCCTGTAAAGTCCGAAGCCCCTTTCCTACGTTCCTTTTCGTTGAGTGGTTTCAGAGTTGAGGTGGATTTTCCTTCAGGATTTAGGATAAAGCTGACCTTGGGGGGCTGGATGATAATAGTCACTGCTGCTGAGACAAAAAGACCGTAGCTCTCCCCGCCTGCAGGCATAATATGGACAGTATTCATTAAGACGGTATCTGTCCGGGGAGAGAAAGAAGGAAGCATGTGACCTGCAGGCTTACTTGTAAAAACAGATGAAAAACTCACAGTGAGGGTCCATCAGGCCACAGACCGTTTCACCTCTAGTAGCTGTCCCTGAGATACAAGGAAGAAGATGACATTCCATTTTATTAATATAAATACTAGTGTCCAACGTGGAAGGCTTTGTGATAGGATCATGCCCGTTACATGGGAGGCATATTTTACTTAGTTGGTTTAGCAATTGCTGTATTACAGGGTGCGTTCAGAAGAGGAGTATCTTGTTCCCTGAATGACACTGGCTCACAGTTGTGTCTTCATTCATGGTGTTTGGCTTCTCTGGTTAAACTGTGGGGACGATGGATTTGCTGAGGTCCGATCCAAGCACTGGGCTGGGAGCTTTGCTCCCTTCGCTGCCCACTTCCACTGATCATATGTGACCATGGCCTGAGCACCGGGGGTCACGGGAGCCTCCAACAGCGGTCCCTCCCCACTGCTACAGAAACAACTCACACTACCAGCTAATGGAGTGTCAGTCCTGACAACTTTCTTTGCAAATGCTTTATTACGAACATTGATGATCGTGGCATTGCAGAAAATGAGAACATGTCAGTCCTGGAAGGGACGTTAGTAGGCCTCTAGCCAAGCCCCCTTGTGTTAGCCAGGACGGGACTCCAGGGGGATAGTGACTTGCCCGAGGTCACACAGCAAGTTAACTGACACCAGAGAAACAGCTAGAAACCAGGGCTCCACGTTCCTGGGCCAGTGCCCTTTCAGTGGCTCTGGGCTTTGCAAAGCACTGTCTCATGTCTTTTCTCATGTAATCTTTCCGACAACTTACCTGAGCACTGGGCATCCCACAGCCATTTGAGAATTCGTTTCTTGATTATTTGTAGTTCCTGGCGACAAATGGGAAAATCAATTCCACCATCCTTTGGGGCTGGGTGTCACGTGAGGCATTTAACTGCCTGCTGGAAGAAGACTAATGCCTTACTGAAAATGCTAAGAATTACCAGTCCTCCGCAATGCTTTTCTACAAGGGATGGTAATCCCAGGAATGTACGACCAGTATGGAATAAGAAAACACATTAAAATTCTATTCCATAGCATCACTTCAATAGGACATGAGGACATTTGGTAAAAGGCAACATTGTTTACTTATTTGAAAAAGCCTTTAAAAACAGAGGAAGAAAAGAAGAAGCCTTTAAAAATAGAAGTAGATGACTGTTTCCTTAATTTAGGAGAGCATAATTCTTCTAAACTGAGGTGTTTTTATTCCAAGTTCATCCTTTATATTTATATTCTACATCACTCCTTTAAACTCAGCCTCATTTCACCTAATGAAGAAATAGTTATGTAAAAAGTACAGTAAGAAAGTAATTGATGTTGTCTGTCAGTCACAAAAATAGCTTTTGGTGAGTGTGCTAAGGCCTCCTAGACATTGTGCTCAGGGGAGGGGTTGGCCAGCCTAGGAGAAGGGGTGTCATAGTTTCTGAAATGGGCATCTCTACTCTGGAGCATATTAGAATAACAGACCTAGGAAGCACAAAAATGATCTAGTTGCCATAGATCCTGCATAGTAAGAGCCCAGATTCGGGTAGGAGGAATCAGCCAGCCCTGGCCCCACCGTGGGAAGACACTGGGAACTCATCACTGCCTAAATGAGGTGAGGGCAGCACCCCCAGACCCCCACCTCCAGCCCAGCATGCTTGTGGATGCTCCAGATACTCCACCCACCCCCCCCCTCCCCGAGGGCCTGGACTTTGTGGCCATGTATTGGGGGCAGGAGGCTTTTGGCTGAACCAGGAGACAGTTTTCTAGACTGTAACTGTCTGGAATTCATCCTTCCCCCGTGGCCCAGGGTTCCCCAGGTGTCTCCCATGTGGTGCGGTCTCCCTCCTCCACAGAGTATGTGGGGTGTGGCTACAGGGGGACGTGGTAGTTGTGGCCATTAAGCCCCTCTGACACCTGACCCTCAGCATTTCCCCCCATTCACCCAGCACCTTTTTCCTTAGTTGTTTTGTTGGCAGTTTTCCAACACCCTGGACCGGATGATTCACTGCCCATTTTATGCAATCTCATGGCAGAAACTTTTAGCGGACCAGAGACGACTTAAGCGTGAGCAAGAAGAGGCCGATATCGCAGCTCGTCGCCACACGGGCGTCATTCCGACGCACCATCAGTTTATCACTAACGAGCGCTTTGGGGACCTCCTCAATATAGACGATACGGCCAAAAGGAAATCTGGGTCAGAGGTCTGTTTTGGTTGCCTCGGTCTGCTGCTTGACCCAAAGCAATATTTGCCTCCCCTTAGCATTGCCTTCTGTAGGCCAAATTAGTTCTCCAAATGGCATCTGTCATCCTGGCTTCCATAGGCTTGCTTTGGCTCTTCTGTGGCTGGTCATGGACATGAGTCCCATTATGTCCTGTGCTCTGTATGTTCAAGCATGCCTGGCTGTGGGACCGGGATCTGCTGGCGCGCACCCCCACCCCATGCATGCCTAGAGCATCGGCTGTCTTCACGAATCCAGTCCTCTACATCCTGCATTTTATCATGACACTGTGTTGCCTGTGTATTCTGCCTAGAAACCTTATACCTTAGCCCATGTGTGTTAGTAGCTATTGTGTGGGCAGTTAGAAGATTCTTCTCTGAAGAAATGGTTTCGTGAAACTTATTATAAAAGTTAGCAAGCAATGCGTTGTTTACGCCATTTACCCAGGTCCCGAAATACCAGAGAATAATATTGCCGCTTGGTATCGTATGATGAATTAGTTGAATAAGGTGTTTAGTAGTGCTGAAGCCTCACTGAAAAATTTTGAAACCCAGGGGGTTTTGTGGTTAGGATATGCCCATGGAGGGGAAGAGGGCTCTCTGAGAGACATTTCATTTGTTCCCTTAATTTTGACATTTCTCAGCTGAGATTACAGAACTTAATATTATAAAAGGCATGAAGAAAGCACAAACCTTTGAAGCGATTTTATCCAGGCCTTGGCCTCCTGCACTCAGGCCAACATGTTGAAATTCTTATGCCGGCCAAACACTGCTGCTTGCGTCAGAGTATGTTTTGCCATGGGACCCTAACTGGTCCCCTAAGGATTAGCTCCTTCTAGGGAAGTGTGTGTGTCTGGGGCTTGGGAGGTAGGGAGCTGGGGGAGTGACACCAAAGCATATACAGGTTTATAAATCAGTGTAATAGGGGATTGATATTCATGTTTCTACCCTTTGAGTGACAGAGACACTGGCTATTCTCATCAAATGGTTTGTTTTTTGTTTTGTTTTTAAAGAAATGTCTCTCTGTGACAAAGAGAGAAAAGAGAACCAGAATGAAAGAAAAGCAGGGAAAGGGAAGGACACTCTATGGTGATGGAGAGAAAGAAAACATAATAAGGAAGAGGCAGAAGTTAGCAGGGGTAACTCCGACGCAAGGGAAAGGCAGCCCCCAGCCCTCAGCATTCCAGCTCCTCAGAACCACCCTGTTCCGAAGGCTCTGGTGATGGATTATCCTCATTCACAGGCCTACCCGCTTGCTAGTGATGGGGAAGAGGGGAACGCAAGGCGCCATAGGGCTGCATAGATCCATGTATAGGAACATGCACACAGAAACGCAGCTGGGGCAGAACAGCCTTGGAGAGAGGCAGGCAAGCTGCCTAACTCTCCCTGCCTCCCTTCCAGAGCAGTGATTCTCAAACTTGGGTGCTCATCAGAATCTCCTGGGGGCTTGTTAAAATACAGATTGTTGGGCCCCATCCACAAATATTCTAATTCTGCGGTGAGGCCCAAGGATTGCCCTTCTAGCCAGTTCCCAGGTGATGTTGATAATGCCAGTTTAGAGACCCCACTTTGAGAATCACTGCCCTGGATGTTGACTGACAGACATGGAAGAACAGAGACCAACAAGTCCCAGGTGCACAGGGCTATGTAGATGTACTCCAGCCCCACTGAGTACAATGTGGGTGACCAGTAATTCTGTGCAAGACCCCGTGTGGAGGCAGAAATAGGACCCAGACTGTGCCCTTGGGAAGCTGGGAGTCCAGCGGGGGAGGCACCCTCGTGACCGCGGTCTGTGCTGTGGGAGCTGGGGTGGGGAGATGGGTTGGGCCTCAGGGAGACAGGCAGGTAAAGAGGGAGATGCTACTTTGCGTAGGCAACGATGACTCAGAATATGTCTTAACAGTTCCGTGGAATCAGTGTTTTTCTCAACTTTGAGTAACATATGGATTCTGATTAATGGGAAAAAAATTTTGTTCTCACCAATCCCCAGTATTGGCCTAAGCCAGTTTACAAATTAAATAGTTAATGACACACCTGTAAAACTTAATTTAACCGATAGGTGAAAGCCCTTTGCCTGAACTCAGTTGCCACACAAAGTGTGAATATGGTGCTGTTTGGTATACATTTTTTAAAGTTCCCACAGCTCTACAGCTGGCTGTCCTTGGGTAACGACCATCTTTTTTTTTTTTTTTTTTTTTTCAGTTGGAATCACTGTGAAATTTTTGTCCTTACAATGTTGGTTATCTGGCCTTCTCTTTTGAACGTGGCGTTTATCATTAACTCCACACCCGCTCTTTTCTTTTTTGCTTACGACTACTAAATTGTGCTCTTCGGTCACAGACGGACACAAATGCAGGCATTGAAATTGTGTGGCAAGGACTGTAAAGCAGTCATTCAGTTGACCTCTAATACATATGTGAGCAGATGGATAGAGGCGAAACATCAACATGAAAATGCAAAAATAAATTCCTGTGGGGAATTCACCACCCTTAAGAAAATCCCTACAAGATACCAGCTTGAGGAGCCTGCTAATAAGGGACATATCACTGAGGGGTTTTGGACCTAAAACTAAGCTTGATGGAGCTTTTATTTTATTTTTTTAAGATTTTATTTATTTGACAGAGAGAGAGATAGCAAGAGCAGGAACACAAGCAAGGCGAGTGGGAGAGGGAGAAGCAGGCTTCCCGCCAAGCAGGGAGCCCAATGCGGGGCTCGATCCCAGGACCCCGGGATCATGACCTGAGCTGAAGGCAGACGCTTAACAACTAAGCCACCCAGGCGCCCCTTGATGGAGCTTTTAAATACCTTTTTTTTTTTTTCTCACCGAGTCTCCCATTTTCCCCCTCTGCTTTGTCCTCTAATATTGAAGAGAAAGTATGTGAAATTGGGGAGAAATTACCCAAAGACCTTAACCCACGTCAGGAATTGAGATTTGATCTGAGGGATACTCGAGAGCCTCAGCCAACTTCAAAGCAAGGAAGTGATGGACAGAAGTATTTGAGGAATGTTATTTGTGCTCCTGAGTGACAGTAGATGAAAGTGAAGAGAACACAAAGTCAAAGGAAGCTTTGTGTGTATAGGAGCTAGAGGTCAGACCTGAGCATGCTTGTGGAGGGTTCTGGAGGGAGGGTTGGTATGACTGAGTGACAGACTTGAGGAACTGGAGTCTGAGGAGGACTTCCAGGCCTGGGGGTCCAGAAGGAGAGGGCTACCCGAAAGGAAAGGAAGCTTTGGAGAAAGAAAATGAACTCAGGGCTCGCTTTGTCTGGCTTTTGGGATGATCTCACAGGCCGGGAGAAATCTACAGAGTCAAAGATGATGTGAGAGGTGAATCAGGGTGTCGTCCACTTGCAGATCATAATTTAAGTCAGGAGAATAGGAGATGTCCCCCAAAGAGTAGGAATGTCTGAGGACTTCTGGCCGACTGGTGTGTGTATGTGTTGTTTTTAATAGCCATGGTCAGCTTTGGGGAACCAGCGCTTCAGCTTTGGGACTTTTTGAAACATCTCTTCCCCAAATCTGGCCCTCCTTAGGGAGGTTCTCATGCATGACATAGTTGATCAAACATTCATCTAGTGTTCTGCTGAGGTCAGATAAGTGGAATTTTGCCCAGATTTCTCCACCAGAATGAACTAGTTAGAGTGAATTTTTCTGCTTTGCTTTCTGGAAACTTCTGAAAAATGTGTCCTTTTCATTGTACATAAATTGTGATTTTAAATTTTCACTGTTTCTTGTGTTTAGATGAGACCTGCCAGAGCCAAATTTGACTTTAAGGCTCAGACTCTAAAGTAAGTACTACCAATTTGTTTTTATAACTGCCTCTTTGAAACACAGCTCACTTGTAGAGATGGAGAACAACAACGATGATTAAAAACAATAATTTATAGAGTTTACTACGTGCCAAGCACCATTCAAGTTACTTACGTATGGTAACTGATTCAGCCATCACCAGAACCCTCTGGGGTTGGTGCTGTTGTTATCCCTGTTATACTAATGGGGAAACCGAGAGGCTGTGAGGTTAAGGAGCTTGCCCAAGCTGGTCAGTGATAGATGCAGGGGGTTCAAACCCTGGCAGCTTGGTGCCAGAGCCTGGGCTCCTACCACTGTGCCACCCTGCCGCCTCCTATCCAGGGACTCAGTTTGCTTGATGAAGTGGTGGCTCAATCTGACCCACTCTTTCTATGGCAGGAACCAGAACCAGTATCTAGAATGATAACTTCATTAGTTTTGCTGCAACATCTTATGACATTCAGTGGTTGTGGGAACCCACAGGAAAGCAGTATGCTCCTCAAAGGGCTAGCTCCATAAAATACTTCTCAAAAAAAGTCTTCCATCCTAGCAGTGAGTCTAGGAATCACCGCACATTGTGTCAATATCTCCTATGCCCCCTTCTTCCCACAGAGACTTTGCTATTGGTGTAGTGATGGCTCTGGAAGGCTCTCGATGAAGAAACCTGGTTAGCTTATTTAACCCAGTGTTATCTAATTTTAGATGACCAGGAAGCCTTTCTATTCCATGGGATGAAATTTGGAAAATGCTAGCAAGCCTGGGTTCTGCAAGGAACCTGCTCACTTCCTATCTAATTATGGATTAAAGTGGGCCATGAGTTGCCATTGGTAGCAATAACCAGCAGCCATCCCATTGCCCTGCTGATGGGAGGCTCCACATCTCCATTCGTGGTGATGAGAGGGGAAGCTCTCCATCACTGGACACTGAGTAATGCCATGGAGAAGGCTACTCAGCCATGATTCTGATCTCCTCCAACACAAAATGAGTGACCAGGCCACAGTCTCCAGACCTAGGCACAAATTCTGGTATGTTGGGTTTGATTGTAATTACTCCAGTCCTTTAGCTCATCAGCTAACAAGAGGTAGCAGTCTAGTGTGCTGGACAGATGGGCTCTAGAGTCAGGAAGTCCTGTGTTTGAGTCGTGACTGGGCCCCTTACTGTCTCTGTGACAGTGAGCAAGTCACCAACCTCCACCTCAAATTTCCTCATTTATAAAATGGACACAAAAATGCCACTCTTGCAGGGCAGCTGAGGTAATAGATATAAAACATTTTGCATAATGTAGCAAAAGTCAGCATCTCCCCCCGCCCCTTCTTTTTAACCAGAGAGAAGATAACAGAGTTCTATAAATTAATTTTTAGTTTAACCAAACAGTACCTTTTCCCCCTTTTTCCTTTGAATTGAGAGAGGTCCGTGACCATGTTTTCCTTTGAACTGAGAGAGGTATTGTGATGATAATCACACAACAGTTTTTTCCTTAAAGCAACTTCGAAGGCTGATTGAGACAGAATTGTCACCAGTGATAAGCTGGGGGTGCCTGGGTGGCTCAGTCAGTTAAGCATCCGACTCTTAATTTCGGCGCAGGTCATGATCTCAGGGTCGTGAGATTGAGCCCCACGTCGGGCTCCCCACTGGGCGTGGAGCCTGCTTAAGATTCTCCCTCTCCCTCTGCTCCTCCCCATCCCCCACACACTCTCTCTCTAAATAAAAAAAGAATTAAAATGGTGCTAATGTTGGAGAGAGGAGTCTACCTCCTGGCTCTATGCTGTTATTACCCCTTGCTCCCTCCCAGAAAAGTTAATACAACTTTTTTTTAAAAGAGTAAAGGACAGATCCATTGACTTGAGTCTTCTAAACGTCTTTAATCACTGGGTTCTACTTTTCTGCATAGTATGTTACTCAAAAAAGTGTCCTGTAGGAGCACTCGAGTGAACAAAGTTAAACAGGTTTCTTACCCGCAGGACTTCTCTGAGCCTCTCCTTTGCTGATGATATACATGGTGACACTCCAGAAAAGACCTGAAGTATATCGTATTAGTGCTTCTGGAACCTCATTACCACCAGACCTTGCGCTGTGGTTTTTTTTTTTTATTAAAGATTTTATTTATTTATTTGAGACAGAGAGAATGAGAGAGAGAGAGCACATGAGAGAGGGGAGGGCCAGAGGGAGAAGCAGGCTCCCCGCTGAGCAGGGAGCCCGATGCGGGACTCGATCCCGGGACTCCAGGATCATGACCTGAGCCGAAGGCAGTCGCTTAACCAACTGAGCCACCCAGGCGCCCCATTGCGCTGTGGTTCTTTGGGAGATGGGCATGTGGTCCGCAGTGCAGGAAGGATGACTGCAGACCTCTCAGCCCCCCACAAGCTGTCATCCTCCTTGCTCACCACGGGGGCCGTGACACTCCCAGCTGCCTCTACACCTGTGGGTCACCGAGGGTGGGAGAGCGTGGAGCGCACGGACCTTCAGCAGGGGTGGATATGCTGAGGGTCCTGCACATCCACGTGTCCGTGCTTGGGGGCTAAAGAGAGGAGGGGATTCAGACACCCCCAAGGAGAGCTATAGCAAAAAACTGGCCAAAAACATTCTCTCTTACAGAGACAAATGCCCTAGATCCCCTCCCCGGGCCTCCTCAGGATTAGAACCTTGTCTGTCAGTGCGACACCACAAAGGCTGCCTTGTTCTTGCACTCAGCACAGTGAGGACTCGGGGTAAAGTCTTCCAGATGTGCCCCCATTGTTTAGCCGGCGCCCCTCACATAACCGAGCGGCTTCCTGGCACTGCAGAGGAGACAGGCCCACCCCCTCCAAACTGCAGTCAGAGCCTTTCTTTCCATTGCTTTTGGTTGGATGCAAATGGAAAAGATCTAGATCATTTTTTTTTAATTCAAAAAACTTCAAGCTACAATTGTTATCCTCATTTTGCTTATAATTTATCTTTTTCATCTTTTTTTTTTTTTTAAAGGAGCCCTGGTTAGAGGTTAACAGCATCATTATTAAGGCCAGCAAAGGGATGGATGGACATAGAAAAGTTGCAAAAATACATGAAGAACATTTTAAGGAAAATCCGCTTTTTTTTCCAAGGTTCCTTTCCCATGTTGAAAAGGAAGTAGTGAATTCCCATTTCCTGAGTGCTAACTCTGTAACAGGCACCGTGCTGGGTGTTTTACTTGCAGTTTGTTGCTACATTTTTCCAGCAACTCTGAGTTAGCTCCTATTTTCAGATAAAGTATCTCAGAGAGATTACGTATCTCGCCCCAGGTCTCAGAGCTAGTAAATGATATAACTGGGTTTTTAACCCAGATCTGCCTAATTTCAGAGCTTTTCTACTGCATGATGGTAGACGGGTGGAGGGTGATGTGGTGGGTGACTGGATGGAAGGACACAAGGATGTCAGTCTATCACAAGTAATTTGAGGGTCATTTCAAGCAATGAAAGCATGCCTTGCCAGGGCATAGAAGGAGTATAGTGAAGACCCTGAAAGTATCTACAGGGAAATGTTTATCATCATTTACTGGACATCAGTTGAGACTACTGGGTGCATTGTTACGTGCTGCATAAATATTCTGAGCATAAGACCAGCATTCACAAAAAATACATTGAGAAAACCACAACAGACTCACATGGCCTGTGAGCACTTTGGAGTGGGGAGTCCTTTTGAAAGTTATCCATCCCCCAGAAGACTGGAAGGATGCCAAAAGGGATGTAACTTCCTGAAGAGTGGGGTTCTCCCTTCCGAATATGGAGGCCCCTCTTCTATCATTTGTCCCCTTTGACCTCACTCAGAGTCTCCTTTTGCTAAAAAATGGAGTGTCTTCATCTTACACATTTTGAGACCTCTGCTAACACGCTCTGACCTTCTGTCGACAGGGAGCTTCCTCTGCAGAAGGGGGACGTTGTGTACATCTACAAGCAGATTGATCAGAACTGGTATGAAGGAGAGCATCACGGCCGGGTGGGGATCTTCCCGCGCACCTACATCGAGGTACCATCCCTCCTTCTCTTTCCACAGAAGAGCCCGGTCATGCCCAAAGCACCACTCGCTTACCAAGAACTTGTGTTTTTTGTTTGTTTGTTTGTTTGTTTCCTCCCTTGCTCTTATCCCCTCGCTTTCTTCTCTTCTTCTCCTCGGCCTCTTTCCCTTTCTCAGCTTCTTCCTCCCGCTGAGAAGGCTCAGCCCAAGAAGTTGGCATCGGTGCAGGTCTTGGAATATGGAGAAGCTATCGCTAAGTTCAACTTTAATGGTGATACGCAAGTAGAAATGTCCTTCAGGAAGGTAAGCGCCCTCTCTTCTCAGCCCTGGGGCTCTGTTTGGATGGCCCTGTTCTCTCGGGGAGGGGACGTCACGGCATATGGGACGGCGTCCCATACATACCATACTAGTCTCTTGGTACCGTCACTGTGCCCGAGAGATGTGCCCCATCAAGGGTTGCATGAAGGGCAGCTGGAGAATTTTCTGAGGTGAGGCATTTAAAAAGTAAACCCTAGGCTTTGTCAGGGTTTAATTAACATTAAGTTCACTGACTAATGGCAGTATTTCTGGAGTCTAAGACTCTTCAGCCAACATTTTTTGAGCATCCAATGATGTGAAAAGTGGTTGTGACTAGGTTTTACGACATACTCCTTTGGCCCAGTGAAGAAGAGCAAGTCCTTTGAAGCCAAAAGTCAACTTTTGGGGAGTTAAAGACTTTTCCAAGCCTCCCTTTGATCATCTGTAAAATGAAGATAAATGACCCTCTCTTAGAGCTGTTTTAAGAGGATTCAAGGAAACCACCTCTGTGAAGCCCACAGCATGATGCATGGCATCTAGTCGGTGCCCTCAAGGAGCTCAGTGTGCTCGCTTTGCACACAAGTGAGCTGTGCAGGGATGCCCTTCTTCCCTGCGATCAGATGCTCTCTTCCCGTGTCAGATCTCTCTGGCTTTACTGAAGTTATTAGTTACTAATTTTAGTGAGGATTTAGGGAAATGAACACATGCCTTAGAGAAAGATGAACTACCATATGGAAAAGAGAATCACCCTTCATGCCCAATATCAGGAGACCAGTAATTGAGTCATTATATGTGTGTACAATAGAATGGCCTGCAATGGGGCATTATGCTGTTGCTGCAGTAGGATTAAAACTGTAGAATTCTATTTGTTGATAAAGAAGGAGGTTCGTTCTGTGTCATAAAGGGTGAAAAAGAAGGTTGGAAAGGGGAATACAGTGCATACTCAGTTTTCGTAAGTAAAAAAAATATGTGCAAGTCTAATTCACATGAACAGAATTAAATCTGGGAAATACATATATCAAAATATTAACTGTGGTTACCCCGAGAGATCATCTTCTGGGTAATACTAGTTTGCTGCTTAATGTTTGTGTTTTTACTTTTCTATAGTGGTGCAGGGGAAAAACAAAGTGCTAAAAAGGAAGGAAAAAAAAAGATAACGCTCCAAAACCTTTGCTTTAGAGAAACTTGGATATCAGTTTTGTGATAAATGAGGCAAAACCCCTCCATTTGGCTGCTGATTAGGGGGGATGACTCTGACCTTCTCCTTTACTGTAATATTTAGAAACTAAGCTTCACTTCTCAGCCGCCAGGTAGCTCTCCTGTCAGCACCTCATCTCCATGACACGGATTTTATCCGGGTCTAGCAAGGAAGGTTTTTCTGAACAAAGGATGAGATAAACAATGAAGGATGGCACAGGGTGCAGGCAGGGGCCTCAGACCTGCCGAGGCGTGGTGGCACAAGGACCCTTCCTTGCCGTATCTTGCAGGGTGAGAGGATCATGCTGCTCCGACAGGTGGACGAGAACTGGTACGAAGGGAGGATCCCAGGGACGTCCCGGCAAGGCATCTTCCCCATCACCTACGTGGACGTGATCAAGCGGCCCCTGGTGAAAAACCCCGTGGATTACATCGACCTGCCTTTCTCCTCCTCCCCAAGTCGTAGTGGCACCGTAAGCCCACAGGTACCTAAGCTTCTCGTCCCTGGTCTTCACATTCCTCCCGACCAGTCCACAATGCTGATGGCACACAGCCTCTCGGGGGTGGTTCTGCAGCACTGTGATTAGGAACCATCTGCAGTAATGCAGAGGATACACACCAGGGTTTGTTGCCATGCATACAAATGACACGTTTCGAGAACTTGGGAGGAAGAACTATTATCGTGGGGAAAAGAAAGAGCTTAAGGTGATGGCTCTGGGGATCAGATGATAAGGGCAAGAGAAATGAGAGACTTTAGCAGTTGGTCCAAAACTGTATAGGAGCAGCCTCCCCTAGGGGAAGCTGGTTGTCTGGGGACCACCAGTGTCCCATACACAGCATGACCCAGGATGGTTCTCTTCATCATCTTTTTGGTCAAGGCTGGCCTGCAGAAGGCAAAGATTGAAAGAGAGAATTTCACATTCTCATGCTCAGACATATGGACCAGATCCAGGGTATTCTTTGCAAGCAAGAACCAGGCTGGGAAAGGAACGTATAGCATCTCTGTCTACACTGGGCCGAGAAGAAGTAGGTTTATAGGCATACTAAGATGTTTGCATCCCTAAACATTAATTATGAACAGACTTGTTTTTAAAAAATGTAATTATTCCAAACCAATCCCCACTTCCCCAAAGCCAAGAAAGAATTAGGACCTTGGGTTCAGAAGAGGCATGGTGGGGTGACTTCCTGTGAAGACCACTGACCATACCACCGTGGTAAGTTGTAGGGAGAATGGCCAGAGGCGTGAGAGCAGGACCCGGACCTGGACTCAGGTGACACTTGGGTGGTGCCTCTTTTCTGTCATCCTCTCATTATTTCCTCCTCTCCCACCTGCCCACCCCTGACCCCAGGGATGGTTCCTGGCAGAAAGCATTAGACGGGCTGACCCGGGGCTCCTGCACAGCGAGATCCATCTCCTGCAATCTCACGGGGAGAGGGCGTGGGGTCAGCGCAGGCCATTCTGCTTCGTAGTAATTCGAGTAACTCAGCGAGATTTTTCGCTTGACTGTAGCCAAGCACAACTGTAAAACAAGATGACTCCACTGCTCGTACCCCTGTCTGGAAGGCTCTTTGCTGAGAACTCTAGAGAGAATAAAAGCCTGAAGAAGGGGCAGGGCAGTGGCAGGGCACCTTTTTTCCTTCGTGCTGGTGGGTCAGGGCCTCTTCGGTGGCAGCGGGGTTGGGGTGGGGTGGGGTAGGATGGGGGCCTCCCAGTGTGTCCCTCTGAAGGTCTGATTCTGCAAACCGGGCCAGCGCCATCTGTAACCGCCCCAATGGGCCCCTTTCTCCCCTCTCTGTTCCACTCACTTCGCCCGCCCCTCCTCCACCACCAGCACACACCATGCACACACACACGCATGCACCCACATCCCACTTTCTCTCCAACCTAACCAAACGATTTCATTTTTTTGGACACCAGAGTGTCCTCGTCCTCCGCATTTCATTCCTCTTTGTATATCCCTTGTGATTATTTTCCTCCTGTCTTCTTTATGCTGACACTTGTACCTTTTGCTTCTTTCCTTTGTCTTCCTCTCTCTCCTTTTCTTTTTAAGTTTGCCAGTCACAGCAAGCTCATCATGCCAGCCCCCTCATCCCTGCCCCACTCCCATCGAGCCCTGTCCCCCGAGATGCACGCTGTCACCTCTGAGTGGATCTCCCTGACTGTTGGGGTCCCAGGCAGGCGGCCTCTGGCCCTGACCCCGCCCCTGCCTCCTCTGCCGGAGACTTCTGTCTATGACACCGACCACCTCGCCTCGTGGGCGAGGCCCGGTTCCTCTCTGTCTCTCAGCCTTCCCCATTCGAGCTGGTCTGATCTTTCCACCCCACGCTCGATGGCTTCTCCGCTGGCCCTGCCTCCCCCCCACAAAGCTGCCTCCTTGGCACGTGGTGCCCCCGCCTCCCTTCACGTCAACGGGGACAGTGGTGTCCACGTGCCACTGCCAGGTGTCCGCCAGGATAGCTTCTCGCAGCTGCTGCCGGGGAGCTCTGATAGGGTCATCTCGGAGCTCAGCACCGCCTTTAGCAGCCAGGGTAAGCGGCAGCCGAGGCGAGAAGAGCGCGGACAGTGTGAGAGGAGAGCAGAGCGGGAGGCAGGTGAGAGATGCCCCGGAGCACCCAAGATCTCTCAGAAGAGCTGCTTGAGACCTTCAGACGTGGTCAGGTGCCTGAGCTCGGAACAGAGACTCTCAGATCTCCACGCGCCCGAGGAGAGCCGGCCCGGCAGGCCCCCGGGTAGCCCTTTGCCGGGAAGGGAGGCTGAGCAGACAGACCTGCATAGAGGTGGCGAGCAGGCTAAGAGGAGGGCCGTTCGGAGTGCTGTAAGCCAGGTAGGCCTGCAGCGTGACCGCATGTGCCTTGGCAGGGTGGGCTGGACGTCTCACCCGTGGCCCGTCTACCGCGGCCCCGTGGATGCCGGTGAGAGCCCTTCGCTTGCCTTGGGGGCAGAAAGAGTACCCAGGAGGGAACGGAGGGGCCATCGATTAAGGTACCAGGCTGGGGACAGGTGGAGGCAAAGGACAGCACTCTGGCCTCTTGAGGCGATTCAGAAGTCACTCCCACTTTGGGTGCCTCCTGGCCTGGTGCCAAAGCCCCACGAGAAGGAAGGCCTTCCTCACGTCCATTCATGCCTTAGAGACTTCCCTCGGTTTGCTCTAACACAGCTGAGAACACCAGGCTTCAGTATGGCTCCGTGTGGTTGGTTTGGTGTGAGCTGCACTTTGTGTCCGTAATCCATGGTGCTCTGCCAGCGCTCAGCTCTGTCAGGTCTCCGTCCCGTCTTGTGGTCGTGTGGGAGCACAGGGCTTCTGTTCCCTGATGAACAAATGCATTTTGGTCCTAAGGAGGTGCATGCAGACCCAGCACTGGGGCCCCAGCAGGTACAGGGTCCTGGAATGGGCACACCGGGTTTTTAGGTGACTGTCCCATTTTCTCTCTGGGTCAGCTACAAAGATTTCAAGGACCAAAGTGGCCTCAGGGTGTTTTGAGGGCTGAAAAATTGGGGATGGGGATGAGGACAAACGTGGCAATTAGGTCATGATCCTAATTTTGGCAATGCTGTTTAGTACCCTAAAAGTCAAAGACTTCGGGCAGTTTCTCTAAAGTAGCTGGGGTTGAATGCCGGTTCACCTCTTAGCGTCTGTGACTGGGAGTCACTTCCCCTCTCTGAGCCTCACCTGTAAAACAGGCTCACAGCGTGGTTGAGAGGGTTCCACAGAGTAATGCATATGAAATACCCCGTGCCAGGGACTGGGAACAGAACGTGGTCAGCGCTTTGGCAGCTCTCCATGTTGGGCGATCTGGAGCTGCTTGTGGAACGGAGAACATTCTAGAATGCCTTTAGTATCAGATGGAATTCTTGAAGAAGCCTCATTTATTGTTTACTATGTACAATGCCCACAGTAGACTATGCTTGATCCTCAGACCTGCCATCCTAGTTTTTCTCTAAAGTCACTCAACAAGTATTTATTTCGGGCCTGTAGACACCACTCTGTAGCAGGGCAGGGGACTGGGGTCAGTGCCTCCCTGCTCTGGAGGAGCCTGTGTTCCAGCAACAAGACAGGCACAGCGGCATCGTGCCTGCAGTGACAGAGAAGTGCTCGAAGACCACAGGAGCTCAGAGGCCTGAGACACAGACGAGGCCGGACCTCCGGCCCCAGTGTAATGGTTAGGAGCAGAAAATCGCTTTCCACGGGAAGAGCAGTGTGGGATAGTGATAAATAATCAGGCCAGCGAGCTACAGTCTTCTCTGTGCAAAGTAGGAGTAAAAGTGGTCTCTCCTTCAGAGGGTAGTTGTAAGGATTAAATGAGCTAAGAGTGATGGCCGGCCTGTGGGAAGGCTCCATAAAGTGGATTGTTTCTCCAGCTCTGAGCGTGGGGCCTAGGGAAAATAGCAGAACCTGGGGAAGGCCTTGCCTGGTCCCAGAGCAGGTGCTCCTGGAATGTGTGCTCCAGGAGGAAGAGAAGGGTGTGTCCAGCTAAGCAAAGAATAGTTGGTTGGGGAGAGATGGTGAAAGGGCTAGCTGAAAAGAATTCAATGTCTCTGATGTGGGAACTGTTCTGTAAACGTCCTAAGTCAGCCCACGGTGCCTGGAGACCTCATTATTGTCGGCCGTGACTCATCAGCACAGCCCAATTCCAGGACCCAGTGTGTACAGGAAGTGCGCATAGTGCGGGAACTCCGGGTGAGTTGAGGGGTATATACTTCCCGCTTCCTAATGGAGGACGGGGGGGCGGGGGAGGTAACTGGCAACATGGAAAGACAGGCCCGTTGAAAATTGGTGGGCCTCCAGAACCCGAGTGTACCACTTCCTGTCCCCGCCCTTTCTCCTGCTCTTCCAGCGCCAGTCCTTCTCCCTGGGTGCGCCCGGCCCTGGCCCCGGCCTTGCTCCCTGCTGAGAGCTGGAAGGTTGTGTGAAGGGGGCCCCTGCCCCCACACCTCCCGCCCAACCCCTCTACTTTCCTCTCCTGTGACTGGGAACAGGAGCCAGCCACTCACGGAAGGGGGACCTGCAGAAGCTCCCTGCCCCTTGAGGCCCTCTTGGGGTGACAGAGCTAAAGATGGAAAGGACTTCAGGGACAACTGTTCTTTGGTGGCCTGTCAGCTTGCTGTGGCCTCAGGCTATGTCACTTATTTGGATAAATGCATTCCAGCGCGTGTGATCAGGAAAATCGCCAGTCACTGTTCTCCTTGCTGTGGGGAACTGAACAAAAGTTCAATTTTATGATAGTTGTTAAGAAGCTAGGTTGACTATCTGACCAGTAAGTAGAGGGAATTTAGCGGGGTACCTTAAATGAAAAGACATTCTAAAATGTTAGGATCTTTTCTTCTTTCATTGCTAATATATCGAAGGCCTCATGTGATCTGGCCATTTCAGACAGCAAGCCGGCTTCGCCTTCCACAGCCTCCCTGCTGGCTTGCCTCGATAATTCCCACCTGTCCTTCACTTCTCCACTTAAATGTTACTTCTTCCAGGAAGCCCCTCCTGACTGCTTCCCCCTACCCCTGCAAGACTGGGTTAAGTGCTCTGACTTTGTGCATCCACGGCCCTGGCACCTGATTTGGGGGATCTCAGCTCTATTGTCTTCTTACCTTCACTTGTCTGTGTCGCCATTAGAGTGTTAGCGCCCTAAGGTCAGGGACCATGACACCTCATATTTGGAAGGTACTCAATAAGTACTTGTTGAGTGAAAGAAGAGATAAAAAAGTGACTGACCCCAATTAAAGCTATGTATGATCTCCATTGCAGGGAGCGGTTAAGATAATTATATATATATTAATATGTATATTATTATATATATAATTATAATGCAGACAGGGAAGGAGAGTCAGTTCACCCTCAAGGTTCAAGATGAGAAAGAATAAGCAACAGGAGGGAGAAGGTGGCAGTCTGGTAGACTTTGTAAAGAAAAGTGGCATTTGACATGGGGCTTCAAGCACAGGGAGGTTTATAATAGGCGAACAGCAAGAGGGTGTCAATTAAGGCAAGCAGATAACCCAGCCAAGACCCACAGGTGGGAACAGGAAAGGGGGCGCGGGGAATTGTGAGTTTTGGGTGAGGCTTAGGAGGTCCACAGGTGGCTGGAAGAGGGGAGTCTGGGGAAGGGGCTGGGAGTAGAGCTGGGAAGCACGTAGACACCCACCAGCAACGTCCAGTCACCTTCCTCACAGTCACGTGCCCCTTGTGAATCAGTTGTCAAACTTCCCTATTTGGTGCTAAGTCCCTGCATGGCTGCTTCCTCCCCCCTTCGTCACCTGTCCAGCCCTACCCCTGCCTCCCCCAATGCTCTGTGGGTGGATGAACACTGGTGAAAGGCTTTGGCTTTTCACTCCTTTGTAGACTCCCAGACTGAAATCACATTGGGTCAGTTGCTCATGTTTTTAGGTGTGTGTTCTTTAGACAGTGGAAGGCGTAAAGGAAGGGCAGGGGGTGTTTAGGGGAACCACAATGTCGTGGGGAGAGCACTGTGCTGGAAGTCGGGATCCCCGGCCTCTGGCCCGGCGCTGCTTTTGGCCCGCTGTGTGTCTTCGGATGAATCACTTCCTTTCTCTGGGAGCTTCCTCATCCATAAACAAAAGATATAGACAAGAGAACTGAAGGTCTTTTTAGCATTGATGTTTTATGATTAGCTAAAAATCCTGTGTGAATAAAAGGGGAAAGAAGGAACAAATGCAAAATTTTAAGTAGGGGGTTTATTATTAAACCTTCAGACCTTCACAGTTGAAAAATGAAAAGTTTTCCCCTGGTTTGGGGGGTGTACTAGGACAAAAACATGCATACAAGCAAAATGCCCAAGAGTTCAGAATTATCAACCAAATTCTTGGATTCTGTCGGGCATCATTTTGGCCAAGAAGGATTAGGGTGATCAAGACCGTGAAGGGGAAGATCATCTTACAAATCTCAGTCATTAGCATTATCAGCTGTTGACTGAGCTTTCCCAAGAGAGAGGCACCGTTTGCTGACTGGCATCAGCAGCAAGAGTTCCTACAATTGGCATGAGAGATCCTCATAGAATTTCTGAATTAAAAAGAGTCTTTACAAATCATCTACTCCAGTGACTCATAACCTTTTCTAGATCACAGAACTTTTGAGAATCTGAGGTCAGCTGAGGACTCTGGGCCAGTAGTCTGGGGACGACGAGGGGAGCACACACACAATTTTGCATCAAGTTTTAGGAGATCCACACCTGAGTCCATCCGAAAGCTTCCTGGGAGTCCGTGCCCCCCAGGTCAAGAGCCCCTAGTCTATTCTACTTTTATGATGAGTTGAGAAAAGTGACAAAAACTTTTGTGATATTTGTTTGAGTCCCAAAGGGAAGGAAGCCAATCAACAATAAAATCAGTATTCAGGAAAGCCGTGTGTCCTCAAAGCGTCTGAGAAGCACCAGATCAAACTGCACAGCCTTAGAGAAAGGCGAGGAGAGAACGCTCAGGTGATGACAGAAACAGGCTTTGGCGGATTCAGAGGGAATGCCCCTTACTGTGTGGAAACTAGCTTTGTTCACAGAAAGGTAACAAAGACATAGTCCTGCTTTGAGCATGGGAATTAAGATGGAAATGTTTTCCTTTGACTCACTCAGAAAGGAAATCTCTAATAACAATTTACAGGATGGGGAGAGGCGTTGGCTGCAGTTCCAAAAATAACCAGCAGGTGTTCTCTCGACACCTGAGGTGGGGAACTAAGACCTCGAGTTGAAGTGTCCACCCCTCAAAAGGTGTTAGGAGCAATGGTAGCAACCGTCATGCCAGCTACAGAGCACCTCCTGAGGCGACCTCCTGATCAGTGACCTCTCCAGCTACTCTCATGTGTCCCTCGGGCAGAGCTCAAGC